TAGTAGCTTCTTGCTCCTAGTAGCGATGCCAGGAGCCCCCTAATAGTAGCGATGCCAGGAGCCCCTAGTAGTTTCTTGCTCCTAGTAGCGATGCCAGGAGCCCCTAGTAGCTTCTTGCTCCTAGTTGCACGCGGCGTGGCCCAATGGGGTCGGGGAGAGGGTTGTGGGGGGAATCGATGACGCCGAGTTCGGCGGCCCAGATGGGAGGCAGGGTCCCCCTTGGAAGACTGTGGAGGTCCCAAGAGAGATATACGCGACGTCAATTCAATATAGTTATACCACATGATGTCAATTTAAGACAAGACACTTTTTTGGGTGTGTGTGAGTGTGTGTGTGTGTGTAACCCTTGTAGTCACAGGGCTTCTTTTGAAGTTTGATGGATGACACTCACAAATCTTGAAGTGTACCATGTTGTTGCAGTTGAAAGGAATGATACGCACAAATCTTGAAGTGTACCATGTTGTTGCAGTTGAAAGGAATGACACACACAAATCTTGCAGTGTACCACGTTGTTGCAGTTGAAAGGAATGACACACACAAATCTTGATGTTTTTCATAATGTTGCAGTGCAACCTTTGGAGTCACAATCCGTTTTCGGTTTTGTTTTGTGTGTTTTTTTTCCGCTGCCTTGTGTCTTATGGGCCCTCTAACCTATTGCGCAGGCCTCCAACCTTGTCGCTATGGCCTCTTTCTATTTGTGGTACCTTTCTAGTAGTTGGCTTGCCGGTTGCCCTTAGGGCCGGCGCATCCACTCTGCTTGGCTGGATGCTTTCCTATCCAGTCAGCAGAGTTGGGGGTGGCTACAACAGAGCTAGCTTGCCTTTTTTGGTGGCGTGGACACGGCCATTCGCAATTGGAAGCTGGGGTGAGCTTCTATCACCACCTGACTCTGACCATTCGATCCATGCTGAAACAGGCTGTTACCATCGATAATGCTCAGATTTTTCCTGGCAATCTTGTTGCTACCGAGACCAAGTATGCCGGCCGAGCGTTGCCTAAAGGCATTGTTGCTGGTGTTTCTGTTTACATGACGGACGAGGAGAGATTGAGAATGATACACTTGTTCAACATTGGAGCTGCACGCGCCTTGTCCACGTGGGACATTGCGCTTCCGGTGGTGCCTAATTAGGTTCTGCATCTTTTAGATCCTTTTCACCCGCTATGCTCCAGAGTGGGCGTAGCAGCGACTCGTGGACCGATCGCGATGGTGTGCCAGGAGCCCCTAATAGTTTCTTGCTCCTAGTAGCGATGCCAGGAGCCCCTAGTAGCTTCTTGTTACTAGTAGTACTAGTACTAAGTCACCCGGAAGATGCCTTGGGGGTTTTGGGGTTTATCTTTTGTGCATAGATCAGCGTGTCTAGCACAAGTCGGACACCGTTTCACGGTGAGCGTCCGATGCGAGCGATAGCTACTAGTAGTAAGGCCAGGAACGCCCCGTTCCGAACGCGTCCTTGCTCCCAGTGATGCCATGGGCCTGGATCTTCCAAACTACAGAACATTTATGCCAGCCTTGGCGGGTTTTTGAGATGAAGTTCACATCCAAAAGGAGACTCCCTGGCCCTGGCTGGGCAGACTGGCAGAGTCGATTTCCCGTCTTCCAGGGTCGAACTAGGAGGTCCCCAATTTCAATACAAACCCGGATTCTGAACGGATCTTCCTTTTGGGCAATGAAGTCCCAAGGGGTGGCCTAGCATAGGGCCTATCACAAGGCCTAGGCTAGGCCATAGGCCTAGGTTATCATTATAGGCCTATCACTATCATAGGCCCTGGCTAGGGGTTCCATAGGCCTATGATCGGCCCTAGGACCCGCTAGGCAATATAGGGCCTACCAGACTGTGCTGGTTTGGCGGTGATGCTCGGGTTACGCGGTTCCCCCGAGGCATCCTCGGGGCAAAAACGATAAAAATCGAAAGTTTTCGATCCAAGTGATGTAGGCTTTCATTACCCTGCAAAAGTTAAAAGTCATTTTTTAAAAAAATGATCAAACAACTTTTTGTTTGCAGAGCTCTTCTAGCTTGCAACCTGTTCCCGAGGCATGCTCGCGGTAGAAACGGTAAAAATTGAACATTGTTATTTGTTGTGGTTCCCGTTTTTAATGGAGAGTCGCTCCTTTTTCTTCTACCATATCCGCGGTAAAAACGGTAAAAAAACACAATGTTTCTTGTTTTACCGATTTTACCGGGGGGCGCCCCTTTTTCTTCTACCATATCCGCGGTAAAAACGGTAAACATCGAAAAACATTTGTGTTTACCGTTATTTTTGCGCGGGCGCGAAAGGGTACCCCTTAGCAAAACAACGCTCGCGAACCGGCTTAGCCTATCATAGGCCCTAGGACCGCGCATCTAGAGACCTAGGCCTACTGCATAGGGGCCTACCCCAGGTCAAGCATACCCCTATCACGGGACTTTTGTGTGCTTTTCTAAGAAACCTCTACGAATCTACTGTAGATCGAAAGTAGGCAGGTGTGTTCTATTGCCAGCGCACACTGCCACAAAATATCTTGCACACAATCGTCACAGGGCGTGCACCAAGAAGGCTCTCAAAAACACGGGCAGTAAAAGTGTGAAATCACGAAAAAATGTCAACTCTTTCAACCACGAACTCATGACCGGTCTGCATACCGGGCATACCGTATCCTTCCACTCTCTCTTTGTCTCTCTCTCTCTCTCTCTCTCGGTATAATTGAAACTGCTCTTATTGTCTCCAGAGCAGCTTCTGCCGCTGCAAACACTGGGCTCTCCCACGTGCCGATGGATGCAACAGATCCCTGGGCTCAGCAGACGTTGTGCTGTGACAGGATCAGACGTCAATGCCACATGGAATTCTTTCAATGAGTTGATCCATGCGAGTGTTTGTGGTTGAAAGTCTGTGCCTCATTTGGCTTTGCAAAAAAGATTGAAGCTTTCCAGTAACTGGAAGCTTCTAGCTGGAGGCCATCTCTATTAGGTTGGAGGCCATCGCTACGGACGTAACAAAGCTACAAAATCCCTTTGGGTCCCACCCACAATCCCCCTCGAACAGCTCCGCTCCCTCAAGAGCACGCTCCGCGGCCTCCCCGTAGGTCACAGGGTCCGCCTCCTGCGTCAGTCTGAAAGTTTGCTGGCGTCCTTGTTACATTCGTAGCGATGCCCGTTGTTACTAGTAGCTTCTTAGTTACTAGTAAGGCCAGGAGCGCCCCGTTCCGAACGCGTCCTTGCTACTGTGGGCTGATGAGCAGATCCCATAGGGTGACATGAGCGGATCTTTCAGGTAGTAGCTCCTGGCATTACTAGTAACAAGAAGCTACTAGGGGCTCCTGGCCTTACTACTAGGAGCAATGTTCGCTACTAGTAACAAAGGGCATCGCTACGAACGTCACAAAGGGCATTACTACTACGAGCAAGGACGCTACGCAGGGTACCTCCGATGGCCGATGCCTGGATCTCAGCTTCTCCGATGCCTCGCTCCTGTGCTTCACCCTCTTCTGGCTCCATTGCCATGGCCAAACGGTCCAACGAGGCAGTGCCAGGCACCTGTTGTCCGAAGACTCCAATTCGGTCCTGCTTTGCCCTGTAACCGTTGCTCTGTGTGTGGTTGATGTGGTTGTGCTAAAGCTGAGGGAATCGTCGATCTTCGCCTCCAGGGTGCGGTTAAAGCCCCTCACGGAACGGGCGGGTTCTGAACCGTTCTCCGTCTTGAACTGTGCTTCAGAACGTTCCATGGAGATGTTCTGTATATCCATAACTTCATGGTATATCCATGGAGATGTTCTGTTTTTGTCGTTGTCCATCCACAAGCATTTCGCAAGAGGCATCCTATCTGTGAAGCGGGGCTGTGGTGTGGTGTGTCTCTCTATCCTTGTCTCTTTTTCATGCGTCAGCCTCTGTCGGCAGAGGCAGGAACAGCTGGAGCCCGAAAGGAAAACCGGCGACATTCGCATGGCCTTAGAAATGACCAAAGACCCCCTTGTTCCCAAGATTCCTCCACAATCCATGCGGTTCTTTGGGTTCCTTTTGCTATTAGGTTGTGTTTTCCATCGCGTCTGTAGGTTCGGGAAACCGGACCTGAGCGGCAGAAACCCCAACCCAAAACGGTGGAGAGAAGCAACCTATCTGAATCCACATCAACAGATCTAGGAATCCAGGAGTTGGCACCATCTAATCCCCCCAAATCGATGTTCTATCCAACAGTATCTCAACCTCGTTGGATCTGGGCAAACAAAGACATCACTCAAGGCAAGCGTATTCCACGCCTAAGATGAGTTGAAGAATATGTTCTTCCAGGCGGCGTCCAAATGTGTCCCTATTTACTTTGGGGAAGTGCATGTTGCTTCCAGCATTCAAGTTGAGCAAATTCGTCTTGTGACACTTTAAACTTACACTGAAGACATGATAGCTAGAGCAAGAAGTTTTTTGCAAACAGCAGTGATAGGGCAATCAAACCAGCCGAACCATCACCTCATCATATTCAATGGTGTTGCTTTAGAGTGCAGGCCAGGTCCACTCGTTGAATTACATGTTTTGAGTTTTGAAGCGTTGCAATGAGGAAAGCATTCGAACCCTGTCCGGATACTCAGCACGGGCGGAACCCCGCACTTCGTCGATGGATTAGTACCGATGCACTTGCCTACTAGTAGCTTCTTGTTACTACTAGCGATGCCCCTGTTACTGGTGGCGATGCACTTGCTAGTAGAGAGGCAACGGGTTGAGGTTGACCAGTGACGATTCTCTCGTCAACCCAAAACAAATCAACTCAACAAGTGAAACACCCTGCGCAGTTGAGCCGGGTCTCCTGGGTAATGCCGCAGTCCTCGCAATCGAAGCGTGGTGACATTTCCTGAGCAAGTCGAGCAACTTGGAACCCGGCTGAGGACAGGCCAAGTTGATGAGAATAGCAGACACATCTTGTGGAAGCATTTTCTTTCTGTCCGTGAGTCCCGGAGCAACATCCACCCCAAAAAACTTGCCAAGAGGGGAAAAGAACTCGTAGCTCTGCCCGGCTCTGCCCTTTTGTGTCTTCGAACAGAATCATGAGCTGGTTTGGTCCGCATGTTCTGTCCCAAAAGGCTAAAAGGTCACTTCCTTTAGTTCCTGAAAGCTGCTAGATCTGCTAGGTAAGTTCCTTTATGGACTGAAACCTCCTTGTTCTCATCTCATAGAAAGCATCACGTAAGCCGCCTATGGCCCAGTTCGCTCTTCGATCAGTTCGAAACAGGTCAATGGTCAGTTCGGTCCCAGAAACCGTCCTGTTTTTGGACCAAAAACCTGTTTCAAATGAATTCAGCTCTGTTGGGTTGTCGCACACGTCTGGCGAAACACCATATCCAGTGGCAGTCCACACTGCCGGCGTGTGCCCAAAGTGGGAGGGGGGAACATTCAGGAAGGGTACTGTGGAGCTTTAACCTGCTGGTCGTGCACAATTGAAAACCGAAAAATGATCTTGCCGGGTGGTCTGGGTGTTCCGGAACGCACACCTCGAGCACGGACCAAACGGATGGTCTGAGCCGATATGCTTGGTGGGATAGGCTTGGTGTCAGTTCATCCCAAAGCACACTGGAAGGACTTTCTGACGTTGAGAATGGCCCGACAAATTCAATTTGCAAGGCACTGCGGCCCACAAGAGAAAAAGCGAAGGCGGCAGTCAATCTGGAGAAGCAAGTCAACAGGCCTCTACTGCTTTCCAACCATGTGGGATGTGCCCGATGTGCTACGTGCCGATACATACGCCCAGCCACATGGGTGCAAGCATGACACCACCACAACAATCAGCGTGACAACGTGTCAGCAGTGTGACCCGTGTGCGTGTCAGCATGATAGTATGTCAGCATGACAGCCTCAGAACATGTCAGTGTGACACCATGGCAGCATATCGACGCGACAACCCCTTGTCAGCATGACAACATGTTACAGCAAACGCAGCACGTCAGCATGACAGCGTGTTTACAAGCTAGCATGGCACAGGGACCACATGTTACAGTGCAAGGTAGCCTGGTGGCATGGCAGCATTTCAGACATGACAATGTCGGCATGACATGAAATCGTGTCAGCATAACAGCATGTAAGACCTCTGCAAAGCTGCTCCAGCACCTCCTGCGGAACCTGCGGAACCCCGGACCGTCTTCGTGAACCTGCTCTGGAACCTGGCAGATGAAAAGGGTTATTTCACCTTATGCAAGAGTCTTTTAGCAAAAGCGTCTTTGCATTAAACAGAAATATCCGCTCAACGTGCGTCTTGAAGCAAAGTTGTCGTCTTTGCCAGGGACTACATGTTTAATTCCCTATGAGCCCATTCCCTTCCACCAAAGCCAAGATCTTTACCTGAAAATCAAAAAGTGTATCCGCCTGAAAAAAAAAAAAAAAAAGTCTGTTGATTCCTTGATGTTTCGTTCTTGAATACTTGAACTTGATTCCGAGCTATAATTCACATTAATTCACATTAATTCACCATTGAGTACACACCCGTGTCCTAAAGCGTCTTGTACCATACCCTCTAGCACCTCACGATGTGGAAGGGCTTTTTTGAGGGGCCAACGCTCGGATCGCGCAGGCGACGCAACCAGTTTGGTTTGCTCCAAAAAAGGAACCGGTGGTTCAGAAAGCAACGTCTGGGTGGAGGCCATTCCTGGACTTCCAGATGGATCCGAGCCGACGCCTGCCGTCCGAGAGGCCGTTCTTGGGTCGAAGCATCGGAGCATCGAGCCGTCGTTCCTGAGAACAGAACAGGTCAGTCGACCTGTTGGACCTCGTTGACTCGTTGACTGTTGAACAGAGGGAGTTTGGACCTCAAAGCACGCTTCTGCATTCGCTGTTCGCGCCTGTAGGCGCCTACTTTTAGTAGTCTTTGCGTTCGCTGTTCGCTCCTAGCTAGCACGAAGCGCTCGCACTAATGATTGGGTTCCTAGATGTTTTAGGGAAACTAAAAAGAGACAGATTATTGAATTAAATCCACATGTCCGTGATCATCTCCACCGTTCAAGTAGCTTCAGTTGGAGGTGGAATTATTATCGACTGACTACACACTCTGCTCATGCTCGCACAAATGGACTTCCAGGAAGATTGCTTTCCTCTACCAGTCAGGCTCTTTTACTTAGGGTTGAAAACGTCAAGTTCTACAGGTGAACCGCCGCCGACTGGCCAGTCCCACCTCCTCCTTCTCCTCTTCATCCGCAGTGCTTGTGGCTTTGAACATGCTGCTCTTGGAGATGCTTCGCAAACTGCGGCAATGCACCAATGGACCCGATGGGAAGCGCTCCACCATTCAGTCACCACCGGGAACCAGGTGGTGTTGTTTTCGGAGCTTAGTTCGGTGACATGGCTTGACATCACTTGGACATGACATGGGGGAGTCGTCTTCGCGTCAGGTTCGAGACCGCTCTCTGCGACTCTCTGCGACTCTGCGACTCTCTGCGGTTCGAGATTGATCAGAAATAGGCCCGGCCTATCCATCAAGAGCTTCGTTCCATCGGGATGTGAGTACAAAATACCTCAGATCCACTGAAGTGGAGTCGAGATCCCCCTAATCCTCCCACCACTACGAGAACGGGTGCAAGATCCATCAAGATCCTATCTCAACATATGCACAGAAGCACTTCTACCCACAAGAACTTACACTTGCGAACAACTAAGACTTCGTCACTTGCTCGCGCTGCTTCGTCACCTTTGACATCGCTTTTGGGGCCCCGAAAAAAGCCTCGCTAGGTGCCACCAACAGTATTTTGACAGGCCCAAAGCTCCAAAATAGACCACGTCAAGATCTCATAATTGCGGCTTTCCCCAAAATCACTTGGGCTCCATCACATCGGCTCCAACATGAAATGAAAGCCATGCTCGGAAGAAGCCCATCGGAACCTCTCCCAAACGACCTCTCGGATCCTACGGACGTGGCCGCCATGGCCTCAGTCTCTCCGCCGGTCGGCAGTCGAACTAGAGTTGAGGTGCCTAACAAATGTTCCTCTAAGCTCCCAAGAGTGCTTACATCCACAGATCAAGAGTGACCAACACCATCCAATGCCCAACCCTGCTCCAATCACACGCCCAACCAAGTGACCAACCCAACGTCACCCAACCATATCAATGCTTCTCCAAGCGACCATTGCCACCCAAGCGACCCTCCACGCGGAGAGCCTTGCATCGCAAGAGGACGGTCGGAAAGTGCCCAGTGCCCGGTGGTTGCGAAGCAACGGCTGGAACGGTCAACGGTCAACGGTCATGCGGACGAAGTTTGGGTGAAGTTTGGGTCACCTGCGGACAGGTGAAGTATCGGTCACAGGAAAAAGGAGAGAGAAAGATGTTCTTTTTGGTGAAAGCATTCGACATGCGACGCATCAGGTGGGATGCCAGCGAGCAAACATGTTGATGCATGTCGTATGTCAGTGCTCCAAAAGAAGGAGATCAGTGGAGGGGTTGCATTCCCTCATGGAAGACATCTTGCTCCTCAACCATATGCCATAGGAATAGAGTGTTTTTCGCTGGCCATCCCAAATATTCTGTCCAATTGGTGCCTGCGCGATGAAACGATCCAGAAAATCAAACGTTCAAAGTTCAAAGGATCCAGATCCTGTGGTGCCCTGAAACCTCGCATGTCCCTGCCCTGAAACCTGCAGTATTCCATGCCCTGAGCAAACATCCTGTCACCTGTTTTCAGGATCCTCCGCAAATGCTTCCTCTGGATCAGAAAAAACGCATGGCTCCGTAGACGGGAGTGTGAGGGTGAGTTGGTGCATTACAAAGGTATATAATGTAGACTGACTTCCTCCTGAGTCTTTGCAGGGCGTCGAAGGCATGTGGCGAAGACTCAGCTTCACAACTAGATAATAGATGATAATAGTTCCAAAACCCGAGGACACCATCTTCCAAAGGCTGCAGGTCACCCCGTGTGTTGAGTAACTTCTCACAACACACAGCCAGAGCATCGCATACACCTGTCAGTGTCTTACTTATTGCTTGGCTGCAATCGCTTGGCTGAAGACATCTGGCACTTTCCCAGTGAAGTGGTTTCCCCTGGTTTCTATGTCAGATGATGTAATCGGCTGAATTAAACGGCAGCTAGAATCGGCATCCCTTTCACATTTCCTGCGAGAATTCTTCACAGGATTTCACAGGACATCTTCAAATGAATGACATGTAGGGAATTGAAAAGTCGCATACAGCAGGTGACTTTGGTGCATCCAATCTTTGATTCTCATTCTGACACCCAACGCAAGCATTGACAGTAATCAGGTCTTTCCTACCAAGTAGATCGACAACGAGCTGAAGAAGCTATTTTCTGAGGCACCTGGCATAGCAGTACTGGAGAACTAGAGTGCCTGATTTCTTCATGTCTCCCACAGAGAAGGCGTCCTGCCGGGGCTGGTGGCTAATTGGCGCACCTTCGTTGGATGTCCAGCGAACGCTGCGAGGAAACCGGCACCCCACGTCTCCCGCGCCACATCTCGACTCTCTCTGCCCCAAGCCCGAAGTGTGAGGGTCCAAAACAAATTGCTACAAGAAGCTATTAGGAGCAAGGGCATCGATACTAGGAGCTCCTGGCATCGCTACTAGGAGCATTCTTGCTAGGAGGAACAAGAATGCTACTAGTAGCTACTATGAGCTCCAACGTTGAGACTGGGAAGATTCCAACCCCACTCTATTCGACCTTGATGTTCTGGATCATCTTGTCTCGGAGCTCCTTCACGTCCTGATGGCGGAGCACCGAGACCGAGGTGATGCTGGGAGAGATCCGGATGATGGCAGACTGCTGACGTGCCATCCATGGATCAAGAAGATTGGGATCTGAATCTGATCTATGTCCAGTGGCATCGTGGGTTGGAAGACCCAAAATAAACATAAATAAAACATTTCGTCTCAAAGACTTGCTTATATTTGGCTTCAACAAAGAGAAGGCTTAGTGGTGGCATGCAGACACAAAGGGTCGCCCAAACCCATGAGTGGGTGTCCATTCTGAGCACCACTCCAAGTGGCCTTGACTTCAACATCATGCCTTCAACATCATGCCTTCCCAAATTTGCCACTTGGATTCCCATAAAGGATCGGAACTCGAACCCCCAAATAAAGGTACCCAGCAAAATCTTCCTGCCGAAGGCCCTCGCTACATCCCTGCCTCCGCCGCCGTTTCTCCGGAAAGTCCAACGAACTGTCCATCTGTTCTATCTGATGTGATGGATGCTGAATTCTCCATTCCCCCAGCGAACACTTAAATACTGTGTATAGAATGTGTTATATTGATTATGGTACTCTCTGCTTTGTTGTGCTTCACATGTCTTCACATGCCTCGGACCCTCGGACACAGACCCAAACCGACGGTCTAGCCAAGGACCCCCTCCGACTTCGGAAGGGTCGGATTGCCTCCAAGCTGGGGAGGCCCATGTCTGGCAGCCAAGGCCTAGAAAACGCGGACAGGGCGGACAGGGCGGACAGGGCGAGGAGTTGGGACTTGGTGGACTTTCGGACTTGATGAGCGGTCACTGCAGCATAGCTTCTGGAACAAATCACGAACCACCTTGCGTTATGGCTGAACACATGCCACACCAACTTGAACCCTGACGCCTCGTGGCTCCAAGGCGTTTCATCCCGGCGGATCACCTCATCCCTGGCCATGAATGTCCGGCCGCTTTGCTTGGTTGGAGACCATCACGGCCATGTCTTTCCCGGCCTGGCCGGCCTTTGAACGCTAAACCGCGCAGACTGAGCCGTCCAAGTCGGACGGGAACGTGCAGACGAGCGCAGACGAGTCTCGCGGACTGGCGGAGACAGTCGTCGCGTCGCGCTGGTGCCCAGGGGCGTTGGATCGAAGTTGAAGCCCTTCAAGTGCTCGGCAAACTGATTATACACCTCGGAAGTCGGCCATGCCGCCACCATGGTTGGATGGGGGAGGCGCATGCGTTTCAAGTATATGACATAAGCTGGGCTCAAAAAGGACATGCCTTGCGTTGTTCCTTTTTTTCCGTTCTTTAGACCTGCAGATCGTTCTTCCTTCCGCCCTTCTTCTTTAGACTCTCGACGGTTTTCTTTCTTTGAAGTACTCAAAATGGAGAAGTCATGGGCACAGTCCTTCCACATGTGTTACCCCACAGGCCCCACTGAGCAGCCCAAACGTCTGGGGTCCCCTGGATCTCAGTGGTCAGATCCATAAACTGAATCTGCACGCCACGAAGCGCGTCACAAAGCGTCACACAAAAGATACAATTATACAAGCATAGACCCCAAGCAGCTTCAAAACGATTCGTTTAGACCAATATTGGTTAAAAATCGATTTCTTGGTCGCCCTACCTTCACCCCAAGAGCAAACTGCTTCATCAATGAATTTTTGTCGGCATTGACATTGCTATTTGTTCGGCCACACTCCTCACCAGTAAACCGGGCCACAGAGACCAGCCACAGAGTTCAGGGGCGCGGCCAAGACAAGGACAAGAGGAGAACAAGACCCAGACACAGAGCCGGGCCACAGAGCCCAGCCACAGAGTTCAGGGGCGCGGCCAAGACAAGGACAAGAGGAGGACAAGAAAAGGACAAGGCCCAGCCACAGAGCCCAGCCACAGAGGACAGGACTGGACACAGAGTCCAGCCACAGAACCAGAGGAGGACAAGGCCTGCGCGGCCAGTGAGTGTGGCCAGCTCTGTTTTTCTTCTAAGATAGAACCGCAACAGTAAACTGTTTGGGGAAAAAGCACTCTATGCCCATGGGAAAGGCCTCCAACCTACTAGTGATGGCCTCCAACATTAACATCTAGCGTCCTTGCTCCGTTCGTAGCGATTAGTAGCGTGCCCTTGCTCCGTTCATACTAGTAGGGCCAGGAGCTGCGTTCGAGTCGCGTCCGATCGCTCCTACTAGTGATGGCCTCCAACCTGATGATGTTCATGTTTCTCCTCGTTCGCGTCTCTTCGTTCAGCGAGGAGAGAGGCGTAGCCCGTCGTCGTGAAAGTGTGTTCGATTGACGGGGCCCGTCTTCTCATCCCATCGTCTTTTTCACACACGACGATCATTCGTGGATTCCAAGATCTCTTAATGTGCATTGGAATTGCAGATTGCAACCATTCATGAGCTGCAACTGAACTGGAACGGCAAGATGAGAAATAGTTCTCCACCTCGTCAGCTCTGTCCGCGCCTGTCGCGTCAGCGCCACAAAGTTGCTCGCGCTGAAAACCGCCATCGACCTTGGACGAGGCAAACACGACGGTGACGACGACGATGACCGTGTCGATGACCGTCGACCCGGACGAGGCGACTGGCCGAAAAAAGACATGCGCCACCAGAGAAGCGAGTTCTCCTCCGAATTGAGGGATGAAAAGACGAGGACCGTCGAAGACGAGGACCGTCACCACCGCTGAACAAACTGGGAATGGTTGTGGGCTTCGGGATGTCCGGTCACAAACACGAGTGGCCCGAGTTGGACCCTGGGATCCCTCTCCAGAGAGGGAGGCGAATGAGAAAGAGACCCGCGCATGTTCCCATGGTGTGTATAAAACTAGACCCCCTAATTAGTAAGAAGAAACAAAGACCGAAAACGCCATGGTTAGGAAATGTCTACCTTGTTTAACACTACCGGCGGCCTGTTTCACCTCGGGCTACCACAGGCGGCAACATATCTGTACCGTTCGACTGCACCACGGCACGCGTCGCTGTTGATCATTGCGACCGAGAGACGTGGCGAGAATAGTGGCCCAGGAGGAAATCAATCGTGTCGTGGCCTCAGCAAAAGGAACTTTGTTGTTGGTCGTGACAAGATTACACCGGCATAGACCCCAGATAGCAACAAACTCAAAAAAAAGCAGCAGCGCCTGAAACAACAAATTCTAATATATAAGTGGTTTTAAACAATCATGAGAGCTTGACCGTGACCGTGACTGGGTCCAACGACACCTCTCCGCGTCACTCCACACAAGCAAACAAGTGGGAAAACAGCTAAAGAAAGGAGTGAAGATAAAAGTATGATAAAAGTATGAGGAGACATGCAAGGAGACAAGTGGGGAAACGAGTGGTGAGACAAGTGAGGAGATATTTGGCAACAACGACCGCTGGCGACAAAACACGTGAATCACACGGGCAGACCAGTTGGAGACAGAAGCGGCAAACAAAGTGGCAGCCATGGACCAGAACTTCGATCAAGTCATTGAGAAGTGTATAAGAACCCCTATATAGGTTATACTCAAGTGTGTCTAGAGCTCAGCACCAGCACGCATAGGCAACAGGATGAGAAGTCCTCAAAACGCTGACACATCCAAACTTGACAGGCATGTGTTGAGAGATCTAGTCTTTTGACCTGTGCAATTGGACCAAACAATTGAAGGCCTTTCAGCGCGTTCATTCTCGATGTGGAGAAAACTAAAGGGGCATTCTCTAATTTGTATGACTGAGTTCTTATCGTTGTCCACCGATGCAAGAAACACGGAGAACCGAGAAGAATCAAAGAAAAACGAGTCCGTTCTCCACAGCGCTTGGACCAGCGCTCCAGAAAGGATTCTGAGAAGAAAATCTGTTGTAAAGGTGGTTCATGTCACTCCCCTTGAAGCACCAGGTGTCCACCATGCGCCACTTGAGACCCTGAAAAACCTCCCTCCGGTCCGGCCGTCAACACTGGACGACGCCAGAGGCGGAGAAACACCCAACCGTTTGGACACCACGAAAGGGAGCACTTAAAGGAATTTCCGGCTTAAGCTGATCCGACATCTAGGTTGGAGGTCATCCCACATCTAGGTTGGAGCCAATGCAAATATGTATGCGACAAACATCAAAGACCCAAGTGGCCGCTTTCATCCACCACGGAGCATCACGCTCAAGGTAAACATGGTACCTCGGCCCCGATGTCGGTTTCGGCTGAGCGCGGAACTTCGTCGGTAGTTCTTCGTGGAAAAGTCGTTTCGGTGGGAAGAACATCACCCAAGAAAATCGTGTCGAATAAAGTAAGTAAATGCAGACTCTCAACTATAATCCCCCTTTGGATTGAAAAACCTCTTCATATGGTGATTTTGTTCTATCAAGAGTCTACATCAAGAACCTCGCTTCACCTCATCAGCCTTCTCCTTCTTCACGGTAACCAGACCATTCTTTCGTGCCGGCGGCCGAATCGGTGATCCGAACACACCACGTCGGACCCGCTCTTCCCCGCGCACGTGGTGTGTGAGAACTTGTCGGCACTCAGGACCTTCGAAGGCAAACGGTCATTTTTCGAAGCGGTCCTGGGGCACTCAACTTGGAAAGCTGTTCGAAATCATTCTAGTAGCTTCTTGTTTCAATTCTAGTTAAATTCTATGTGTTTCTTGTTTCTAATAGCTTCTTGCTCCTAGTAGCGATGCCAGGAGCCCCTAGTAGCGTCCTTGCTCCTAGTAGCGATGCCCTTTGTTCCTAGTAGCGTCCGTTTTGTGAACAAAGAAGTTCATGTTCATCAATCTAAAGATCAGAAAGTTCACCTTGAAACCCGACTTCACATGTCATGATCTGCAGCGCAGCGGAGTCTTGCTCACCAAACAAACAACAGGGGCTGGGGAGGGCATCCGTTTGAAGCCATTGCGGTTCCACAACCCAGGACATGTTTGCGTGTTTCCATTACACCGTGATAGACCCCAGAAAAAAGAACCCCTATAGCCTATAGCCTATAGCTATCGCTATCTGTGGAAAAAGGATACCAAAAGGGTCAAGTGTTTTGGCCGACTCGAAGAGACCGATTCCCAGGCCAAGTCCCAGGCCGAGTCATGTGAGGCCGATGAACACAGCACCGGTAGTGCGCCCAAAACAGGAGTGCAAATAATAACAAGAAAGGACAACGGTGTTGGGACCATGTTGGGAGAAGAACATCATATAGAGGGGACCCCTTTGAAGGGCCAAACTCCCAAAGTCCCTTTCAAGACCGCCACATCTTGTCGCTTGACCGCCACATCTGTCCAGGCCTGGAAAGGAATGGTATGATACTCTCCGTAGAGGAACTCACGGGTCCAAACCTGCCAACGGGCAACGGTGGTTTCCACCGGAAGCTCGGCGCCAGCTCGGAAGTCCGGACACCCAACTCGGAAGTCGCAAGAGAGATGGCCTCCAACCTAGTAGCAAACTATATTAAAACCGTTCTTCCTTGATTCCTTGATCTTCCTTGTCTTTTTGAGTTCTTTCTAATAGCAATGACCTCCAACCCAATAGCGATGGCCTCCACCCTAAAAGCGATGGCATATCTCATATCTCACCCATTCTCATCCTCTCACCTCACCCAAAACCGCCCTTCACGCACCTTCTCGGACTCCCAAACACGCCTCGGGGTCGGCAACACGGGTCACCCATTGACGGTGGCAGTGGGACTGCGACCACAGCGGTATCACAGTGGTATCACAGTGGTATCACAGTGGTATCACAGTGGTATCACAGTGGTATCACTGGTTTGGTCCGGTCGTTTGGTGGTAGTTTCATTGGTATCACTGGCGCTTTGACTCAACTCAACTCAGCGCCTTTGATCGTTTTCCTTTGATGCGCTTTCGTCCAGCCGATCACTGGCCCTGATCGGCTCCGAGGACGCCCAGGTCCGCCCACGGTGACCGGTCGTGGTGTCTCGAGATGAAGCAGAAGCACGGCTTGACCAAAGTGACTTGAAATCATGCCCGCCAAGTGGCTTCTTCTGCGTCTGGTACGTCAAGGATAAGTGAGACTTCGGAAACTGCGAGCGAGCAAGCAGGCTGGTTTCTCACACTTGGAAGGAGTGCTCTGCCACACTACAGAGGTTTGCATGTTGATAGGCAGGGAGACCCCAAGCAATAGTTTTAGCTGATGTTTGATCTTCCAGGGTTCCTTGAAGGATCTCCCTATTCTAATCCCAGCCGGCTCTGTCGTCTGATTATGCCCGATTCATTCACAGTAGAACATTTTAGGTGCCTCAGTCTCAGTTACAGAAAAATCTGTGCCGGGGCACTCCACAAAGAGAGACTTACCCACATTATTCCCAAAAATCCTCCATCATGACGGTAGCTGTCTAGGCATACTGGATGAAGCAAGCGCTGAGGCCCTCACTGGTGCTTAGTACTGGCCTACTTCATCCACAGTAAGAGACAATCTTGCTAAAGGAGAAATCGGAGGAATCTCTCCGACATTTGGACCATGTGAGAAGAAGCACAAGCTGGCTACTGCTTCACCGCGTCCTTAAACATGACTTGCGCATTGAGGTATCAGCCCAAGAAAAACACATAGTAACAAAGGGCATCGCTACTAGGAGCAAGGACGCTATCCAGTAGCTCCTAGCAATACTACTAACAAGAAGCTACTAGTAGCTAGAAGCTACTAGGTGGAGGCCATCGCTAGTACCTCCCGTGTTGGCGATGGAAAATCCCTTCACTCGACCCACCCACCGTTCGTTGCACCTCCAGCGGCGAGGGCACCAACAGCAAACAGTCCGGACAATTCACCGGGTCCTGCGGCGGCCCCGTTTTGAAGTCTTTGGAGAAGCTGGGAACAAGGGCATCGCTAGTAACAAAGGGCATTACTACTAGTAGATACTAGTAGCAACTCTAGTGATGAGGTTTCCTGATCTTCTCACCCCCGAAAAATCACCGATGGAAGTCGACCCGAACACAATGGTGATTCTTTTGGAAGTCACCCGCATCTCTCCAAATTTCCTGCGGTCGAGCGAAAAGAACGGCATCGTTTTCCGATCACCAGGCATCGAGCTGAATTGGCTTCCTTCAATGTCAGAGTCGTTTCTATATAAAGCGATGCAAGTCGACAGCTCGAAGATGAGCTCGGACTCGCTTCTTGAGTCTTGGTGAAATCATGCAAATCCGGCACCCCAAACCGGCTTTTGGAGCTCAAGACGACTCCAAAAGCACGAAACTCTTAGACTTACAGTCTAGAAGCCTCCCTTGGCCTCTCTGGCCGCATCTCTCGGCGGTCTCAGTCGCGGCGGCTCGGAGTCCCCGAGCCAAGCACCGCCCGGCGTCCCGAGTCCGTCGATCCGGTTCGGTCGATCCGGTTCGGTCGATTCGGTCCATGGTCGCAATGATGCGTGGGCTTTCGACCTTTTCCCACCAGAAGACACATTTGTACCTGCGATGGGTGGGAAAGGCGATCACGTAGGGAGAGGGGGTGATGTGGGGAGTAGAAGTTGGAAGGAACTAAACATGTTGAAACCCTCAAGGTCCCAATGTCCCGACCAACCAAAAGGCCAACACATCTAGGATCTCCACATTCCAAGCAAAGTTCTTTCTTTATAGCATATAATAGTGCACGTTAGAAATAGAGGATGAAAAAGGAACAGCATGACACTCAGGTCAGAACAAGAACTAAAGTGCACTCGGTGAACGAGCTTCGCACGAGCATGCGGCACGTCCTTGATTCCTCCCCCGCTTCGTCGGCTTCGGCTTCGGCACTCCGTGACATTCTTCTTGAAGACTGGCATCTCATAGCAGCTGCTGTTGTCCAAGCTCAAGTTCAGCAGATAACTGCGGCACGTCTTCGGATCCGCCGCCGTTTTCGCGGATGCTCCGCTGTCTGGTGCGGTTGGATCCGATCCGAGCGGGGCGGCGCGAGCTACTCCTCTGCCCCACAGAGAATTCTGAACGCTTATGCCGCTCGGTCAGAAGGATCTGCCCTGAAAGGTCTGGGGTGAGCCCAGTGAAGACTCAAAAAAGGAACATGAAGGTACTTGACATCCGGTGAAACCAACAAACTGAAAAAAGAAAAACGAAGAAGAAAACATCTTCCGGACACTTCGGACCCTTCCCTCTTCACGACCCCATCTCCCGGCGCAAGCCAACCCCGTCGTTGTCGCAAGCTCGACTCGGCGACGTCGACGCTCGGAGTGGCGGGTCGCGCCTGTACTTGCTCACCTGCTGCTTGATTTCAACCTGACGGCTGTCCAAGTCGGACGAGCCAGTCTTTTATATAGAAGTTCTAAGATTAAGGGGGAAGCTATTGAATCATTCAAGGGTTAATTCTATAGAGATGTTGCTGGGATAGAAAAAAATACAGATCCTCAAATGGGCTCCCTTGTGGTCCCGACCGTGTAGGTCATCGTCTTCTCACCATCAGCGGACCTCGCGACATTGGGCGACTCTGAGACGCGAGGCAGAATCGGCAAGCGGACATGCCGAAATGCTTGGTGACACAACGATGCCAGTCATGACCGCACACCACGGTCCAAATGTGAGGATTTGGACTTGATCGACACTTCCATCAACGGCGCCACATCAGAGTGCATTTTATGAGGACATCGGTTTTTGGAGGGTCTTCCAGTGTTCCAAACGTGCCTCTTTTTGACGGGAAAGTGTGTCCCCCGGTTTCCCGGCCGCACCTGCTCGTCGATCCAAAACAAAATTGGGAGTATGTCAAGAACAGTCCCACGATGAATTCTTCCTCTCAGGAACCAGGATCTTGCGCGTGACCTTTCGCAAGGTTCCACAACCAAAAAGCAACCAACACTTCCCCGCCCCCGCCCACAACAGAAACCGAAGCTCTTCTCCCACCCGTTCGGTGTGTGGGAGAGGAGCTTCTCTTCCCACCCCACCGGGTCGCCCCACTCCATCTGGATGCTCACCGAGCGAGACCATTGAGGCGGCTCACCGACCTGAGAAGACGCGCGACGAGGCACCGGATTGGCGCACCGGGTCACGCGGGTCTCGTGGCGCCATCAGATGCTTCGACCGCGAAAACGAAGGCGTCGAGAGGGGACTCGGGCTCTCTCACCGTTTTGCTGACACGAAAAAGACCTCAAAAGACCCTGTAGGTCAGACTTCTGTCTTTGGTTCCGCGAATTGATCAAAGTACAACTCCTCTCCTAAGGCAGTATTTCTAGTGGGAGTTCTTGGACTACAAACAAAAATGTGTGTCCATGTTTGTCCTGTTGATCGCATCATGGTGTTCATATGATCCTGTGATGACCTTGTCTGTCGTATCACAACATGATGCGCTGCGGCATGAAATCCACAATCTTCATGTGCCTCGAGGTGGTCATTGTCGTGCATCTTCACAGGAATATTGATGGTGTCATTGCCAGTCGTCACCTGCGAAGCCACGGGCTGACTGGATGTGTACGCGGTACGATAGAAGACTCCCAATTCCTACCCACGGAGCCAAGAAGATTTTGTTGCCTTTCTTAGCCCACCTCTTGAGCCGCGTTGCGGATGAAACGGCGAAATGGACGGCGGGGCTCTTTGTTCAAGCCACCAAAGATAATCGATGCATGCCCTGAAAAGCCTCTTCAGCCGTGGTTGGTGCCGAAACGAAAGAAGTATCGTTTCCCAGCTTTCAGTTCACACACGGCAAGGAGACACGTTTCAGTTGAATCTGATGCACCTGGTAGGAGGAGCTCGAGATCTTTGCAAACCCCCTAACAATAACCGAGAGAAAAACGCACACAAGCTGGAGAGCTCTTCCAAAGTCTTCCCACAGCTTGCATGTTCTGGTGAACATTTAGAGGCTGCTTGCCCCTCCATCTGTGATATATTCTTGAGAGGTCAACGCGACGCTTCCAACTTGTCTCGCATCCCACCATCCCACCATCCCACCCCATCCTACCGTGGGATGCGACCATCGTGCCTGGTCTGCATGGATGGTGATGGTTGCTTCAGGGTCATCCGCTGTGACCGTCAGATCCACCTGGAACAAACGAAAAAGCCCAAAACGAGGAGTTTCTATCCACACAAATGGACAAATGAGCTCCAAGCTATGGGTTATTCCGGTGGAGACATTGGATCCTGGGCCCCGCGAAAGGCTGTCTTCATCCGCTTCGTGCTCTGACCAAGCGGAAAGCGGAAATCCCATCAACCACGCGGCCAACGAGGGAGGAGGGGCGAGACGTTTGGCTCGGGATGTCCGAAAGCTGTGAGACTGACAGGCTTTATCACCTAAACCACCGAAGTGGCCAGGATCTGCATTCTTTGTGGCAGTGTCCTCCCGCCAATGCACTTATATGGTGATGTCATTACGAATGTGTTCTTGCATTGGATGCTAATGATGCCAATACAATGCAATCTTAACGCATTGCATGCACAAAGCATTTCTGGGCCTCTTTTGTGTGCCCATCCACGTGCACCAGGTACTGCCTGAAAAGAAGCGAACCGGCGACCGCAGCGAAGCGAAGCGTCCGAACCGGATCGACCGAAGCGAAGCGTCCGAACCGGTCACGCTCCGTTCGCTCCGCGAGGCCAGGAGCCTCGTTCGGTCGCGTTCTTCGATGCGACAGCAGTGCTGACTCCGACTCAAAGACGACGATTTGGGGTGTCAACAATCGCACTTACCAGAATGGAATTGGTCCGTCCGTTTCGCAGCGCCAATCCAAATCCTAGGACTTCAGAGCTTGACTTCAGAGCTTGACCGTCTCGATACACTCTGCGTGCGAGAAACCATGTGAGTCGGAGAAACTCCCTTGTGCCCCGATACCAAAATCCAAAAATATTCCACAAATCTTTCATACGTCTTGACCCCGCTGCAAACCCTCCTGAACATCATCGCCGCCCTCCTCACCCGGCACCACCTCATTCTGGGCTGCCGGGCTGAACCTTGGGGTCGAAGGCGGGCACCAGCTCTCTTCCAGCTGCCAGCGGAGCCACCGGGTGAGACGGACGAGAGACCACCGGGTGAGAACTTCCAATCGAATTGCCACTCCAGTAAGTCTTGGAAGGACTTCCATCACATTTCTCCCCGGATATTGAGTTGAGAGGCCATTGCAATTAGGGGGGAGGCCATCGCTATTGACCTTGACCATACACGGTGCTGATGTACGAAGAACCCAAGCGGGTGGGGGGGCCTACAGTTCCCTACGGTTCCCTACGGTTCCTTTGCGAACGAGGTCAAAAAGAAACGTGTTCTGCTGGAGTGTTGACGCGTCAAGAGCAGTTGAAAGAGTTGAGTGATGACAAATTAACCATGATGACAAATAACAAGAAGAAGCAAAAAATGTAGATCGAGCCGAGTACTCGTCTGAAAGTATCATTTTGGCACCGTCCTTTTCGAGCCTGTCCTCAACTTAAAGTGCCCACATCTACATCGTATTTCGCAGAATGACAGGATAGAACGCACATCCTGACAGAGATTTGACCAGAAGCAAACCCCCTGGAAGATGGCGGCGCTGATGAGAACCGCTGACTCCAGCCCTCCCGAGGCACCAATTTCGAGGTTTGAAACCCGGGTGCTGTACTTGGGCTTCACCAAGACCTTGGAACGAACGAACGAGTTTGGGAGCGCAAAACCTTGGGAGCAGTTCGGAGCGGCTGTGAGTGAGGACTGACCATTCACCCTCAAACTGCTGGGGACAATCTTCGTTTCCCTCCGCAAGCCTCCAACTTAGTAGCTTCTTGTTACTAGTAGTAAGGCCAGGAGCCCCGATCGTGGCGTCCTTGCTCCGTTCGTAGCGATGCCAGGAGCCCAGTTCATAGCTTCTTATTACCCTAAGAAGAGTGCTTACCTTCCGTGTTTCTCTTTCTTGTTTCCCTGCAGTCCGTGCTTTCTTGTTTCCCGGAGCCATTGCACAGAGCCGGCGCGAAGTGCGAAAAGCTTGGTCCAAAAACAGGGGCCATCACCTGGGAGAAAATCAACACCGGGGAGAAAATCCATCGACCGCGTTTGGAGCACTTGCCACGATGTCCTGAGACCTCAGTCAAGGTCCAAAGCTGAGGCTTCAAGCGTTTAAGAAGTAGCGGGTGCGGTGGATGTTGTCCGGCGCAACGGCGCAGATTTCCTGGGCGGAGCGGGACGGAACGGTTTTCGGGATGGTGGGGTTGAGGAGTTGACATATGACCGTTGGAGAAGCTTGAAAAAAGTCATGCAACGTCCAAACCACAACTGGAGTAGGGACTGTCGAACATGGCATCATGTTGACCTCCATCGTCTTTAGGCTGAAGTAAGCAAAAAAAACTTCAGAAACACTCTGCCCAGGAACTGCCTTTGAGATCAAGTGTCTGGGAGAAGCTCTTGACTCTTGAAGTGGCAGTTTGTAGGAGGCAAACAGGACAAGGCGCGCATCAAAGCTTGAGACTGACAAAGAGATCCAGACTTCTGCCCACAACTGACCTGTTACCCCAAGAGGCTTTCATCAGCTAAAGAACAACTTCAGAAGCGGGTTTTATATATAGAGGCTGGTGTCGGATTTGGCGCTCTGAGAATGGCGGCTTGATGAGGTTGTGACAATTCACTGTAAAGAACAATACACATAGGTTGGAGGCCATGACGGCTATTTGGCTGGAGGCCATTGCTAATAGTATTTTGCCACAGAGAGACTTTGGCTTCTGGATGGTGGCATTGTGGACAAAGGGCGGCTAGGCCCATACCCCAAACCCTAGAACCCTATATGGTTCTTAAGATAGTCTCTGGTTTGCCACTTTGGCGGACCAACGATTTGCATCACCGCAGGATGTGTCGCTCAGCTTTTCTCGCCACACGGTCGTCGGTCCTTGAGCAACCGCCGCACGCGCTTGGCGCGCCCATCGCCGAGGGCATTCGCCGGGCGATCGCCGGCGGGAAAGGACGTTCCAAATCATTCAAAGACGAAGCGACCCTCAACCAGCAACGCTCTTCCCTCCGGATCACGCTGCCGCAGCAAACGGTTCGCCTCGGTGAGAGGTCTGCGAACGATCGTTGAGGTCTTCCTTTCGACAGGTTTACAAGACCCTAATCCACGGCTTGGTTGGAAAGGCATGCCTCGGCTGCCCAAAAAAAACGCCTTTCGGACCTCGTCGCCATCTTGACAGGCGGTCTTGGGCGCCTTGTCAAGAAGCCCTGGATCTGTACCAATCCCCACCAGCTTCGGACGCTCCTAGCGCTGCGGACGGAGAGCCCTCGAAAGTGCATAGGACCCAAAGAACCCCAGGCCGACCACCGATTGGTTTGGGAGAATATCAAGTGCAAAAAAACCCTCAGTGGATACTGTCGCGAAAAACCTCGGGTCTTTTCGATAATGTTCCAACTAGAAAAAAACTGTCGCCAAACAAAACAGTCCCACGCTACGAACGTAGCTCCTGGCCTTACTACTAGGAGCAAGAAGCTACTAGGTGGAGGTTTGCTTCCAACGTCTACCATGACATGGGGCCCGATTTGGAAGCTCCTCAAGGTACGCCTTCATCGCTGGCAAAGATTCCATCAGCCTCGAACGAAGGAAAAAAGGCGGCAATACGCGCCCCCAACTCAGCACTGAACATCAGTAGCTTCTTGCTCCTAGTAGCTTCTTGTTACTAGTAAGCGAGGAACCCCTAGTAGCGTCCTTTGCTCCTAGTAGTAAGGCCAGGAGCCCCTAGTAGTTCTTGCTCCTAAGATTAAACATGATCCGCTGAGTTGGGCACTGAACATACCAACCACTGGCTGTTGGGCCAAGAAAAAGAAACCTTTCAGAAACCCTCAGGCGTCTCATCCCACCAGTTGGGTGCACAGAAATCCGGCAGGACTCGGCTGAGTCTTCGTTTGGACTGCGGGCTCTTCGACTCGGTGGCTTTGTTTCTTTCTTCAACAAGATGTTCCACCATGTTCCACCAGGAAATGTACATGCCCCTTTGCACCATTCTGTTTGCAATTATATCGTTTGAGATTGAAAAACAATATAAAAACGAACTTTTGCACCAAAAGTTCAGGGAATCAATCCTTTGCACCATGGATTCGCCAGGCGGAACCCGCCAGCAGGTGGAACACCGAGTTCCGGTCGTTCCTTCTTTCGGTGTCTCACCTTTCTGCTGTGACCAGGTCACTCCATCCATTGGACAAGTTGGTAGGTGTCCGGGATGCATTGAGGCTCCACCAACCTGAAAACCACCAGATTTGGAAAATTCTTTCATTTGCCAATCTCAGAGTTTCGGTTCCCAGTCCTTTGATCTCCTTGCGATCTTTTTATCAACTACGACAGCGTAGGAGGCGCACGAGGCCTCGCATTGGCCAAGTGGTGGTAGACATTGAAGTCCCCGTGGCTGGGAGTACTGCCTTCCAGGCAGAACATTCTGAGAGGCCAGGGACAGTTCGTCTGGGTGGCGGGAAAATGCCCGGTCCAGTTGTGTTCCAGATTCAACTGGTTGTGTTTGCCTGTGTTTGAAGGGTGTGTGTTCCAAAAATAGAACACACTGGTAGGCAGGCACACACGCAGGCAGGCTAACAAAGGCAAGCTTAGTCGATACATAGGATCTTAGTAATGTCAACACAGGATTAACCAACCCCCCTATTAATCAAGCCCAGCTGGAGCCTCCAACACTAAACTAATTGAAACCCTGCAACCTCCCCCTGACAATTTTTGTTCCTTGCCAGAAGCCCCCCTATTAATCAAGTCCAGCTGCCCCAGAAAAATAAGAAATATACTTTTTACTACTGGACTGTATGTATAGTTCGTTTTACTACTTTCTGGCTGGTATTCAATATTTTCTGGTCCGTGGTGAAACTGATCTTCTGATCCATCCACCCTTGTCTCATGCCATCTCTTTGAGATATAGCATGTCCATCCTTTCCTGTTAAAACACAAAAAACTCACTAGCAAAATTCGCTCACGTTGCCTTATTAAAACGTTATCAAAACCTTAAGGTTTTCAAGCTCACAAAGGGTACCCCTCACACAGGCCCTACATCCCTCTAATAGTAAGTCCCTCCCCCTATTAATCAAGCCCACCCTCTGGCCTGCAATCCTGTGTCCTTTCCTAATCATCCCAATCAACCATCATCAGGTCCAGGTCCTCATCTCATCATCCATCACCAGGCGTTTATCTTTATTAAGGGGATGTGGTCTCCAATCCCTCCAATCCCTCCAATCCCAAACATTCTTGACCTGTTGACCTTGAAGGCGGGGGAGGGGGGGTTGATTAATCCGGCGTCGAGGAAGTTCACCTGCCTTCCCTCCCACCTGCGGCCTTGACTGAGATGCAACGATGCAACGATGTTTTTCCGCTGGGGTGGACTCCAATCCTTCACCTGACTTCACCACAGGGGGCCTCCATAGAAGTTGCCCCCACTGCGCGTGGCCGCTTCAAGCTGTGCTTCCAAGTTCATCAAATGCCTGGGATTTCGCACGAACGCAGCCCTCTGAGGGCTAAGTGGTCCTTAAAGTTTTCAGATTTCACAATTCCTGATGTTGTGTATAAACACTATATATTATTGTACAATAGATAAGCCATGAGAAGGCAGGGGACGAAAGCCAGCCGCCAGCCCCTGTAGGGATTGAGAAGCCAATGAAATAGTATTGTTGTTGGGTGAGGAGGAAGCTGCATGTATTTCTTACGTTTTTTGCAACGGGAAAACAGAAGGCAGAGAGACGCAAAGCTTCACACGAGGCTCGGTATGATAGAGCCTACAGACACAAGGACACAAGGACTTTACTAACCCCCATCCACTGTTACTGGTCATAGGCTTCGCCCAAAAAAGCACCACTCTCCAACTGCCAATCCCAATGTGACTGCGCAGGGCAGAAAGCTGCGGATCTTACAAAACGCTGCACCTGCGCAGTGACTTCATCCTCCACATTTCATCCTCTCACGTTTCCACACGTTTCCTCGCTATTACGCACGAATCTGACACGTCATGCTTCTATCCAAAACCCTCTCCAAAAGCTTCCCCCAATGTCAGCGCCTTAGCGCCCTACTGCGAACGGTTGACAACGGTTGCGAACGGTTGACCACGAGTCACGAACAAGGCTCTACCCCCAGACCCCAGAGTTAAAACGAAAACCCTTCGCTACGCCTTCGGCCAAAAAAAATCCTTTGTGCCTTGGGGGCAGCACAAACACAGAATCATCGCCCAATCGTCCCGCTGTGCAGACCAATCGTGACGGGAACCATGCTCCGAAGTGGCTGCGGCAGCGATCCGAAGTACCAGCGCTTCACCTGACGGAGCGCAGCATGTGGCAGAGGGAGGGGATGAGCCAGACCTGATGTCCTTCTTGGCATTAAAGGCTAGGCACTGGGCACTAACCATAGGAAGTGGTCTGTGTAAATGGGCCTGGTGTTTTGCAAGAAAAAGACTGGTGCAATCTAGGGAGCTCACTGAATGGTTCCTGTCCTTTTGTGGGAGGAAAGACAAATCCTTAACGGTCCGTCAAACATGTGATATCTGGTCAGAGCTCACTGGGTGCTGAGGGGATGCCTAGTTTCAACTGCTGTTGATACGCCTCAAAAATGTAAATGGGAAACCTCCAGGGAGTCTGTATCAGATTGTTTATATTGTTTCCAGCCACATCCATCTTCATTCATTCCTTTGAATATACCCCAAAGCAACTCAATGAACATCCCACAAGTATCGCCATGTGACACCTTCATGTTGCATATACCCTCTTCGTCCTCTCCTCCAAATGACATCGGGTGCCATCACATGACATCTGTGCCTGTTCAAATTCTGGTCCAGTGTAGCAGTTGATCATCGGTTTGATCGTGCACAGCTCCTAGTACGCAGCTCCCACCGAACCGGCTCTTACATCCAGATGACTCTGATGACTGATCCATGTCCAAAAACATGGTTTTGGTTGGTTCCTTTTTCTGGGCACATTCCGCTCAAGCGATCGGAGAGAGGAGTCCGACCCTCGGACAACATCCATGTGTTTTGGTTGAGGCGTTGCCAGAAATCGCAAACAGGTTGAGCAACTTTGTAAAGACTCCGCGATCTTTGTGCAACACGACCTAAACAAAATCAATGCCAATTGCAACTTGGAAGTGGTCTACCGATCCGGCTGGTGATTCAACATATTGCATATGACATGCGGTACATACATAGTCTACCATGGATCGCAGGATGAAAGTTTGCTGGTCAATTGCAAGCAAGCCGGTTGCCAGTCTGCAGAAAAGCAGCATAGAGTCTGTCAACAGAGAGGTGAAAAAAACCGAAGTCTCTGAGGACTTGAAGAATGTCGGGATTTGACGTCTTACATACAGTCCAACGATTGCTTTCAGAACACTTTAGGGAAAAGAATACCAAAACCTGGTCTACTGCATACCCTGTGACCAGAATTCCGTTCTGGTGGACTTTGCCAGCATTTTGTCCTCACTTTTCCTCACGTCACCTGTGCCATCACTCCGTCACTCCTGTGCCATCTCAAAGACAGCATCGTTCAGTGCACAGAGGGCGGGCTCCGCGGGATAACATCCGGCCACTTTCGCGGCATAGCGAGCGATCGAGCCACCTCGGGCTCGGCCGGTGTCCGGAGTGGACACCGACGGGGCGGACACCGGAGGGACTCCAAGGAACAGCGTTTGAGCTTTTGGGCGAAATAGTAGTGATGCCCCAAAAATGGTCGAAAATGGTGTCCAATACCATGTGAATGTGGGGATCTTTCATCTGTTTGATCTATTTGGAGGTCTATAATGGTCGGAGGCCATCGCTAGTGGAGGCCGTCGCCAGTAGGTTGGAGGCCATTTCTAAGTTGTGGATTCGGTCCAACCTCGAAGCCTCGAAGCCTCGTGGAACCGAACGTTCGGCGAACGAACAAGTTCGCGCCAAGGCTCTTTGGGCCACTGCCCGTCCGTTGATGTACAAGACTGGGACCTTGTCGAAGGGATACTCGCCTCGCATAAGGTCCCAGGTGTTGACCCTTTTTGGGCGTTCGTGATCAAAGCTCTTTGAGCTCTGCATAGCTCTGCTCTCATGTCGACCATAGCTCTGCTCTCCATAACTCCACCATTCCTCTGAGAAGCAAGACAAAGATCTTTCTCGATCTGAGACAAGGAGTCCACAGCCCTTCCCCGCACCTTCCCTTCGACGGTCAGCAAAAACGCGGCCCCACACCACCTGTGGGGAGGTACAAGTACCCTGATGGATCTGATGGGCTCGGAGGAGAAGTCAGCTTCCTCAATTTTGGAGATCTGGGGCTATACTGCGTACAAGAAACTTGGCTGAACGCACAAAACGTTGGCCAGATTGTCTGTGAGAGGATCCATCTCTATGTTTATTCTAGATTTACTGCTGATCAGTGCTCTTGTCCGCACTTTTCAAGAAGTCTTGGCAGCTGTGCCGTTCAGCCTGATTCTGCAGCTAGAAGGGAACCAAAAACCTCCAAAAATCAAAGACTTCTTTACCTCAAACCATCCACCTTGCCAGCGCCTCATCTTGATACGAGATGCCCCCGAAGCGGAAAATGAAGCGGGTGGTCTCTGCCATGGCCCGGAACGGCAAATACGACAAGCGTAGGGCCGTCATGGGGCAAGTTCAGGGTGTGATTTTGATGAGAGGAGCGCTGTAGTATGCTACCTCGGACGCAAGTTTCGGGGTGAGGCGCCTTCTCTGGGGAAAAAGGTTCACTTCGTGCGATCGTTCTTGGCCAAGATCATTGGACAAGGCACATGTCGCTTGTTCACAGGATGTCCTTTCGCATCCTTTCGCCAAATAGCTTTATTGAGTGAACAAATGGATGGATCGCAAGAATCGTTTAAGCTGCCCGGGTCGTTTTGAGCCAGAGATTTCAGCTGTATGAACAACTCAGAGAACATCTGCACCTACTAGTGTGTGTCTATACTCATCTTTTCATGGTCTTGCCGCCATGGTTTGCCGCAATAATGGGCTCTGAACGAGAATCCAACTTACACACATGAACAGACAGCATCCCTCATGAACAGACGGCCTCTCACATGTTGCCAAATGTGGCTCCCCAGAGCCACCCCACGAATTTGAAGACGCCCACCGCGCTGAAACCAGGCAAGTCCTCAAGGGGCCAATTTCGGCCCAGCTCGACGCCCCGATCCAAGGACGAAACAGACTGACAGATCGCGGTCCGAAGACTGACAGATCGCCCCACACCCGGAGCCGAAACTGCCACCGATGTTCGCGCCTTCAAATCCGGGCCTTTTTTTCGATCTTGTTACTACTTGCCTTCTTGTTTCTAGTAATGCCCGCCTCGTTACTAGTACCTAATGCCATTGTTGCTAGTAGCTTCTAACTATATACTAACTCTGGGTGTGCCGGATCGGCAATTCGTCCTCTCTCGACCGCCTGCGGCCCACACGGTCTGGGTGTCCCGGCCCACACGGTCTGCCGCTGCGCCGCTTTCCCACAGCCATCCTGATCGGGTGGCAAGCCCGACCTGGGCATCAAGTGGCATCTTGGAGCCCGTCGCCAGGTTCTCTCCGGATTCACGACCAAGGTAGAGACCACGACAGGACCAACTTCGATATGTTCACCTTGCATCCGCGTTCTTGATTGATCCTGGATATCTTTCGGGGTGTGCGCCATCAGGGTGTCACCCATCAGTCATACAGGAGCCTGGCTCACTTGACATTAAAAGTGTTTTGCCATTCTCCCATTACCCGCTGGTTACGTTGGCAAACTTGGACCGGAACAGCGGCAAACGACTGCACTTCCGAGTCTGAAGACAGAAGTCAGTCATGTTGTCACGTTCTCCCGTGGTGGATGATCATCCATCTGTGAAGCATGGTATCCCTTTTCAGTCTTGCCACAGAAAATCCATACATGCCAAGGAATTGCAACAATACGGAAAACTAAGCGCTTCCAAAGAAGAACGCAAGGGGCTCAACATCACGACTAGCAAGGACTCATGATGACTCCAGACTCTGAATGCTCAAGATTCCGGAGGATGCCACCAAGCTCCAAAATGCCACTCCCCGCAGCACATGTCACATCAACCTCACATGTCCACTCCTCAGTCTGTCTGGTCCTCTCCTCCAGCTCCTCCAGCTCCCTCTCCTCCCACGCTCTCGGCCCACCCGACCCGGGCGGCGCTTTGATGCCCACGCGGCCTTTCGGCCTCGGTCGAAGGGAGGCTCCTTCGCTTTGGGCCGTCCGGGCTTGACCGGTCCGGTGGGACGATTCTGCGTCTCGGTGCTTTCGATGTCTTCTCTGAGGTCGGTGTTTGCCGTCCCGTGATCGAACGAATCGAACCAGAAAGGCGCATGGGATGGGAAGACGAGGTCGGTGGAGTGTAGAACGTTGGACTCCAGAAAGCGAGTCCAAGCGGCAAAAGAGGTGGAAGGGTAGGACCGTTGGAATCCTGTTCTTAGGTCGGAAAACACGCATAAAGGATCTATGTCTCTACTACGTCGAATTTCTCATCGACCTGAACCCCAACATCTCATCAACCTATCTCAGTCCACACCACCTCTCAGTCAAGTGATTTCACACAGAGAGGAGTTGTAACCAAGAGAAGAGACCACCTTACCCAAGACCGAAACTGCTTGTCCTAATTGATTGTCAGCGCTGCCAAAATGAGCCAATTCAGCAAGGGAACTGCACCGTTCTTGCCGAGATGGAGAAAGGGGATTCAATCTCCACCTGCCATGGCAGAGAGCACAACATCGCAGGCCGAGGTTGTATTTGGGTTTCAGGTCTTCCTGCCTATTGGATCTAGACAAACCACTGGAACTTCCAAGATGCAACACATATGTTTTAAGGAACTCAATGTCAATGCAACCTGCTACTCTTTGGAAGTATCATGAAGTATCCAATCTGCATATGTCCAATTTCCACCTGCTCAGGGTTTGGCAAAAGATTCAGCTACCCCCAGCACATCCTCAGGTCACTTCGACCGGTCGTAGGTCGCCGCTCTCTCCCTCGTCCACGCCCGGTCGGTCGGATCTGCCAGGGGCACGGTGGTGTTGTAGCTTTGGACACCCGGATCAAACGAAGGCTTTACCACCATCACCCTGCGCAGGCGACAGTCGACTGGCGAGCTCGCACGCGCAGGCGACACCGCGGGGGAAGTTGGGTCACGTGACCCGTCCCAAAAAGCACACTGGCCGACACCGCTCCTCTTCACAAAACCGAAATGCTTGGTCGACCCCAAGGTCAAACATCCCAACGCGGAACGGGGAGAAAAACGTATGATCGAATGCATTGTAGATCCAACTGTAGATTTGTTCAACTCCGTTTTTGTTTGGTGAGGGTGAATGCCATTGGTCCACCCCCAGCAATGGGCAGCAAACATGTTCTGAAAAGGGAACCCTCTCTATGTGAGTTGTTCTCCCTCTGGGCTTCCGATTCATATTCTTGTCGTTCTTTTTCCTTCAGACCAAAGGGAACAAATCTTGTTCGGGCAGCTAGAGTTTGGGGGAAGCCTTCGCCGATGGTCTCCACAAATGTCTCCAATGGACCTTGAAAAATGGGAGCATGAGCGGCACCAAAATCCTCAATGTTTTCGAACGAACCAGCTTGTTCTCGAACGAAGTGACCCAACAGACCCCAGCAGATTGGAAAGATCTTGGAGCATTCTCCTGGATTTCAGTCGGACATCATCTCTTTCGTGCTCCGCGCTTGCGGCAAGATTCGTCAGCTGAAGTGAGACGTTCAAACGGCTCCAAACGAATTGTTTGCTCAGGCATGTTTGGTCAGCCACACCCGTGACGAAGCATTGTGTTTTGAAGAAGGGAATCCTAATATGGAATGGGCATAGTCAATCATGGTGGTCCTAAAAAGAATATAAAAAGAGCCCTAAGCCTCAGGTACGTTTGGAACAAAACCATTTTGGATGTCCTTCACTTTGCGACTTTGCAAAAGCAAGTCTGGGTGTTGCCACAGGGAGCCACTGCAGGATTCGACCTAGAGGTCGATGGTCTGTGAACCAAGATCGTTGGTCTGCCTCGCTCGTGTCGAGCGGCGCCAGGGGGGATCCATTTTGAGCGAAATTGTCATGAATTGTGGTCCATGCCGCTTGAGTTCGTTTTTCAGCTAGCTCAGCACTCTCAGGATTGTTACTAGGATTGTTTTGACCATTTGTGACCCTCTCCACGATGTTCCCCCCTGCATTGGTCTAGCACAATCTAGGCCAGATGCAGGATCTCTACAACGAAAACAGTCCCGTCCTGACAGCTTTCACTCCGGAGCCCGGCGGTGTCTCCAAAAAGGATCCCCTTAAAATCTGAAGCCTAAGAAAATGAAGACTCAAGAATTTGGATGGAGATACACGCTATAGAGCAAGATCTCCGGAGCGTCTGCATGTCTTTCCAAGACACAAATCTTACAGGCCATTCTACCCAAATGTGCACATTGCTGGCTCTCACAGCCAAAAGATGAACTTGCCGTGCTTCCACTGGTAGCCTGCTTCCTGCACAACAGTTTAGGGCAGTGCTTCCTGCACGACCCATCGGTCTGCGTCGCTCCCGAACGAACCAAAGAAGAACGAAACCACCCACCACCCACTGGCGTTCTTCGTTCGGGTTCCCCGTTTGACCCTTCGTTCCTTCGATGCCCCGGGTCCTCAGGGACCAGAAGCATCTTCGTATCTGATGCAAAGCCAGTCTCGCCCGTGAACTCCTAGCGCTGCTGAGCGATGCTGAGCGAGAAGGAGAAAGAGGTTCCTGCTACTCTGTGGGCGCGTTAGAACACGAGGTGTCTGGGGATTTTGGGGAGTCCGTCCGATCCTTCTCATTCGGAGACGGTGGGCCCGGAGTAGGAGTAGGACCCGGAGTAGGACCCCCGAAAAGTGTGACTTCGCGTTATCGGTCGGAGGCTGTTCTAAGGGGCCGACCCGAATAGATGGCTATATGGGTCACCTGTGATGCGACAACTGGCTGTTCGGAGTCGCAAGGCCCAAAACCGCCGAACCGGCCCAAGGGAAGTCTCCTCACAGCGGAGATGTTTCACGAACAGTTTCGAGATGTGAAACATCGGGGCTGTCCTGGCTCTTCTCAAGCTTTCTCTTTTCGCTGGCTTCTTTGCGCAGATTGTAGTAGTGGATCTTCAACTCCTTCTGCGTACAAAGATGGCAAAACTTGCACTTGGACCCAAAATGGCAACCAGCTCCCGGACGGAGCCAGAAAGTGCAGGGGGTGCATTCGCCGCGCAGGTGCAGCTCGGAACACCCCTCTGCCGCCATGGGGTCCACCGGATCGGTCGGTTTCCGCGATCGCGGCTGCTTCGCGTTGCGGCTGGAGCCATGAAGGGAGGTGAAGGGAGAGGGTGGCACAAGCAGAAGTTAATGTAGTTGATCTATAAGATGCATCCAAAATCTCCGTCATAGTTCACCCAAGGGCACACGGATTGGGCGAAATCCCCACTTCCCTTCACGAAAGGTGCCCCGTTCACTCACGTTCCAGAGTCCGAAAAAACCAACGAAACCCGCAGGACCTGCTTCGCGCCCAGCCTTTCGGAGCTGGTGCCCAGGGCTTCCAGTGTGGCGATGTCGCTGCTTTTCTGCGCGAGGTCGCCGCGTAAACCGCGGTGCGTCCCGGAGAAACACAATCTCCGGTCGTTTTCGAATCTGCGGACCAACGAAAAGTGGTGGATGTCCGATGTTTCCTCGGCCTTCATGTTTGACTCACACCTACGTGGGAGCACTGCTTGCGGCAACTGGAGGACTGCTAAGCTCATCTTCGAACTCGACTCCCTGGTGTCTCTCCGATTGGGGAAGTATCATGAAGTGAGAAACATCCTCAAACCCATCTTTCTTTGGTCAAGTTTCAAGAAGCTCGAAAAGAATCCAATCACCTTGGCCAAAGCCTTGGAGGAAGGAACAGTCGAGATCTGCTGGCAGGCAACTTGCGGCGCGCAAGTTGGGACCACTTTCTTTCATCCAAGAATAGGAAAGGCAACCAAAAAGTCTACAAAGGAAAACTTTGAAGGTGAAGTTGATCCAACCCATTCATTGTAGGGGTTCCAATGCTGCCTTCGGTGCACACGAGTGAACTGATGTGAACACATGTGAACATCCAAAATAGGGTCCCCGTGGAACATCACCACAATGACCTCTACATCAAGATCGCTTGGCGCTTGGCGATTGGGACCCCCCTTTTTTTCGCCGTTGGTTTGGCACCGGCCGCCGCCGCCCGGTGTGGTGTGGTGTTCGTTCGCCGCCCTCGTCGTTTTGGGGCACCCGAAAGAGATCGAAGACGTAGGTGCTGCAGGAGGGATCCCCCACGGGCGCGCCCTCGGGACAGGAGACCACCTAAGAGCGAGAGCCACCGGCGACTTGACGTTGGTCTGATCGGCTGGTGTGAGAGGGATCAACAACGGTTCCAGAGGGCACAATTCAAAGATAGCAGCTCATTGGCTGGCTGAAAGGGTCCCATCTCCAGCATGTGAATCAGAATGGACCAAGCCTAGGCTGGAGTTCTAGAGCTAGTGCAGCCTGGACATGCTGCTATACATTGCAAATGGACATGCACTGTGTCATGAACTGATCACTGATGTCAGACCGACTGATCCATGGGTGCTATCGAAAACGACCACGACCAGAGGGAGTGGACAGCGTTTTGGTGTGATCCTCACAGGTGGCGGTCGTCCCTCAAAGGGAGGAGCTGAAAAGGTTCCAGTTTGAAGCGAGGTGGTCCTCCCTAAGCAGTTTTTGGGGTCGAAATAACGAGACAAGGAGAAATGTGATCACGCAACATGCATGACCGTGCTTCAGTTGAGATGTTCAGGAGGAAAGTCCCCACAGTTCTCTGTTTCAGCTACGATCCCCTTCGCTTCCCGACATGCTTCATGGCAGGCGTTTCAGTGTGGGGCATCTCCACGTCAAAAGCGTCAACCTGCCGAACGGGTGGACTCGTTTGTGAGTTCTGGTCCACTTGGGAGAGGCATGGAAACGTTGCAGGACAGAAACCCACGGACCTCACTCTATATCAGAGTCTTCTATTTTGTCTCTTCTATTGTGTCTATCCTGTTACCAGTAACAGTGGATTATTTATAGAGTGTCCTTGTTCAAAAATAGTTTAATAGGACAGACCCAAGATATATTCGATACCCCTTCACAAAGGCTCCGTCAGCCAACCCTTTCAGAAGCATTTGCTCTCTCCCATCCAAGCTCACAGCGATCTGCCAAGCGTTGCCTTACCTCGTCCTGACTTCCCTTTTGTTCTCACCACTTCGTTTTGTTTGCCAGTTTTTTGAACCTCCAACCTAAAAATACTCTCTGGCCTCCAACATCCCCTTCCCTTTTCGCACCCCAACGCGCCACTCGTGTCGCTCGCTCGTGGTCGCTCGCTCCGTTCCACGCTCCGCCTGTGAGCCATCGAGGAAGTTGTTGGACCCCTTCAAGGTCACGGTCACCGCCTCGAAAACAGCGGGGAGGTCGCCGACAGCCGTCTCCGCTCGCTCGCTCGCCGACCAGTTTTGGCGCAGAGGAGAGAGAGAGAAAAGAAAAGACCTAAGACCTCTTTGCAGAGATGAAAACAAAACGAAAAGAACATATGTCGAAGAGATTGTGGGCACTGATGACTCTGGGTCATACATGCCAGGTTTCATCTGTTCGAGCGCTCATCTCAACAGCTGAGAAGATTTGACAGAAATGTGAAGTTCAAGTTCCCTTCTCCGTCTCATGTACTGTAGGAGCAATCAAACTTTGATGGCCAAAGACAATGCTCAACGTGATCACCCCTACCGCCCACCTAACGAGTCGAAGCACTATTTTCTAAGTTGGTCGTCGAGTCGCATCACTCTGTTACCAGTCGGTTTTCATCAACTGGCAACCAGGGATGCCAATCAAATGCCGTCCAACTGAGTCATACCCTGGGTTGGGTCGGGTGGGCGACTCAGCTGGAGCCAAAATGGCATACGGGGGAGGAAGTAACCTCTACCACACTCATGCATTGTCAACTCCACAAAAATGTGTTCTCTCGACAATGCTCAACGTGATCACCCCTACCGCCCACCTAACGAGTCGAAGCACTATTTTCTAAGTTGGTCGTCGAGTCGCATCACTCTGTTACCAGTCGGTTTTCATCAACTGGCAACCAGGGATGCCAATCAAATGCCACTTGACTCGACACCAACGTCCGTGCCAAACTCCTCCTACCCACTTGCGTCTGACGCGCAGGGATCGTTGGAGGTGTCGGTGTCCTCATGGTCCGACGCTGTGCAGGGTGCGACAGCCGGGCGGGAACCGGGAAAACATTTGCTACAGCGGAGGTGGGCAGTATTGACTGGTATGTCTTTACAGATGCGGTATTCAGCCTGGTTCTTGCCAAAGGGCCAACCGCAACGTGTACGCCACCGGCGTGGGTGGATGTCTAACTTTTATAGATCAGTGTGATGTGATATCTGCCGCCTTTTGCGGTGTTTAAAATGTTGACACCTGGCAGATTTTCATCGGGCACACTGAGGTGCACTGAGGCTTCGCAATCTTCCAACATTTGCGATTCCGGAGGCATGAAGGTTGCTTTGCAATCCTTGATGCGTTGTTGGAGTGTGCTGAGTTCCTCCTGGGCTCTGCGCACCGACATGGCCGCGGTCGATTCTAGTGCCAGTCTGTCCAGTTGCGCGACTGGGGCATCTTGGATGTAATGTAAGAACACATCCGACCCCCATCGGCCGAACAGCTGAATTCGCCACAACTCAATGTTGTGCATGGCCATGAACCGGGCTCCGGTAACTCTGGCGCTGTGTCCAGTGTACGCTCTTGCCCCGTTGTCGTGCACCGTGGGCAACTTGCCTCAAAGGTATCGGCCCAACCTTTCTTGGTGGATTCCAATCCGTCTTCAGCTGGGAAAAGAAGTTGTTCGGGTCCGTCCGGCAGCCTGTCCAAATGTTCCAAAAGTACGTGGAAAGGGCACAACCTGTTGGTGTGCACGGAGCATGCGCACGTGTGTGACCGCGTCGCTCCAAGGGCTGCCTGATCCGTCTTCGAACTAGGTAGTCGCCATGATGCTTTGAGTGTGGCTATCTCGATGGTCACGTGTTTGCGGCGTGCCCGAGATGCCTCAATCTCACGCAAAAGCCACCATGATGCGAGTATGGTCGCTGACACTGGATGTGTTGGACCGCCTGGGGCTAGAGCACTGTCGCCCAACAACTCGGCTACCTGTACCAAAGGGAGGTGAGCCGCCTGCTTGGGATGTCCAATGCCGCGCTTGCAACTGCGCACGGCGGACCGGTAGGCTTGTTGAAGCTGGCAATCCCATGGCTGACCGAGGGCAATGTGACAGTTCTTCGCAGTGTCCAGGTAGAGCTGTGCTGATCGATACCCTCCAGTCTTGAGAGCCCCCATGACGGTGAAGATCATGTTTGGGTCCAAGTGGAAAGTGTCTGACCATCCTGCGGTCACGGCCAGCGTAGCCCAAAGTTTCTGACGTGATGCGGCCGGACCTTTGGTCGACTCCGCCATGATGTCTTTCGACAGCTCCGCTCTGCATGCTTGCGGGTCTTGTGCCGCGGTGATGGCTGCCTCTGCCGACCCTCTGCCGTAAGGCTTGGGTTCTCCCGAGCCCCTGTCCCGTGGCCCTCCGCCCGGAGTGTGGGGAGCAGTGACCGATGCCGCGGAGGCCGGCCTGTCCACAATGGCCGGGGTCGGTGGAGTTAAGGCAAACCCTTCATGCAGGAGTGTCGGTCTACTGCGCGCCGTTGGGGGCGCGCCCGGGTATGAGGCGAGTGAGCGCTTGAACGGCATGCTGCAGCGCCGAGCGAACAGTCTCGGATCGCCTTCCCCCCCCGAAGAAACCGCACCGGAAGACAACTTAGGGGTTCGAGCGACTTGGACAAAGTCTCCCTACCTTCCCGCCCGGTGGGTTAGGCCTCGCCTCTTTCTCAGGTCTCGGTCCGCGTCAGCCACGTTCTCGGCTGTCTCAGAGGTCTACCTTCCAGAAGCTGGGCTCGAGGCTCACCGGAGTGTGCTCGACGGACCGCAGGTATTCTGGAAACTTCGGAGCGACCGGCGCCGTCTGTCGGGACAGAGCGTCTGCCTCTAAATTGGTCACCCCTGGGATGTGGCAGAGCCAGTGAATGCGATATGACCTGAGGGCTTGGTCAATGGCGAATTCACGTGCCAGTGCATTGAGTTGGGATGAGGCGGCTCCTCCCTTAGCCAACATGCACAGCACGCCCATGTTATCAGAACGGGCCCGCGCTGCTGCTGAGTGTCCTAATTGCGGCAGCCACAATCGGAAGGCCACCAGCAAAGCAAGACCTTCCCATAGAGTGTTGTATTTTGAACATCCCGTGACAGCTTTAAATCTGCTCAGCGCGTTGGCTGGGATGTTGCTGGAAAAATATTTCGTCGCCTGACTCCCCACCTTTAAAATCCCGCCAATTCCCCAGGGGCTGGCGTCTGTGGTGATCTCTGCGACGACTCGTGGTTGGTGGCTCTCCAAAACTCTGCACAGCGGAGCGGGTTCTCCACCTAGCAACGCCCGGATCCATTTCAATGCCGGGCGGATCCTTCGGGTGTGCACCAGCTTTCCGGGAGGTCGAAATTTCCCCTCTCCGTCATTCGCAGGTATGCAACTACCCAAGGCTGCCCATATTGACGACAGGAATGGGCGGAGGTGTGTTACCAGCCCGGCTACGAAAGACAAGGAGCCTGCGTAGGAGCGCAACTGCTTCCTGCCGACCACCGGTCTTTTGAGCATCAGGTCTGTGGTCTCCCTCAGCTTCTCCACCTTGTCAGTGGGTATGGTGACCTTGACTGTGCTCGCCTCGTCGTCCAGCTCGAGCCTGGCTCCGACCCAGTTGATGGCCTTGCCTCCTTCGGCCTTTGACAGCTTCACGGGGAAGCCTGCTATGGCGAACCACAGCATCAACGATGTGAGGTCGAGGGCAGCCTGCTCGAGATCGCCGGCCAGCACGAAGATCGGGTCGTCTACATAGATTTGTGTGCTGGCCTTCGGAACGATGGCTGCACAAGCTCTCCCCAGCCATGCGGCGAAGCGGCCCCAGATTGTTGGGGAACTCCCAGCCCCAAACACCAGGGTGTCGAAGACAATGAGCTCCATGCCTTCCTGGGGTTTGGCCTTTGGCCGTGCTGCGACCGTGAACCTTTTGTCTGGTCCCGCCGGCACGTTCATGAAGGCGTCTTTGACATCCACTGCCGCCAGCCACGGTTGGCGTCCATCTCTGTACACTCGCACGGCCTGTTGAGCCACATCGAGCAACCGTGGGAGGATGATTCTTTCGCCTTGGTGGCAGATCTGGTTGGCCCGGGATTCCTTGAGGTCCCAAATGATTCTGCTCTTCTTGACGCCCTGGTGGTTGAACTTGGTGATGACTCCCAGCTTGTTCAACACGGGCTCGCCTCCCAGTTCTTGCGCAGCTTGTTCCACGCTGCCAATGATGTGGCAGAAACCCCTCTGGACGTAGTCTTCCACGAGGGTCTCCAGATCTTGGGCCTCCTCCTCCGCGGACTTGTAGTTTTGCCAGCCCTCGATGGACCTGTACAGCTCGTGCTGAGAGATTTGCGAGCTGTCGTCCCGGGGCACTGGTGGAAAGATGCCCGCTGCAGGTATGGGCTCGCTGTACCCCAGTGGTGCTCCATGATCCAATTCCCTCTACGATGTTTGCCTCTAGCGGGGTGTCTGCCTTGGCCGTCCTGTTTCTCGGAGCGTACGGTCTGCCCAGAGCTTCGGCCACCTTGACTCTCAGCCCGGTCACGACCTCTTCCGGGAATGGGCTGGCCACTCGACCGGTGAGTATGTCGCGACCGATGGCCGTAAGTTCCGGTGAGGCCCTCTGAGTCTCTTCGAGGATTCGCCGCACCATTGCTCCCGGCCCCTTCATCGATGGCAGGCGCTGGACCGCCAAATGCGGGTTTCGCATCCCCCCGATGGCCACCCGGTTCTCCTCCTCTCTCTGAGTCGGTGGCCGGAGAGTGGAGGCGTCAGGAACCGAAGGTGGGTCTCAGAGCATCTCCTTGCGGAGCTGCTCCATCTTCCACTTGTCGTCGACGTTCTTGTGGAAGGCGACCGCGAGGATCTTGCTCAGGAGTTCCGTGTACTCGCCCTGGGACTTCGAGGCTCTCTGCATTTTGCCGTCCACCTGTTCCCACCTCTGTACGGTCGGGTTGTGGGCTGCCTCGAAGGTGGCGCCGTCCTCTCGAGTCCATACTTTCTTCTCGTGGTTGCACCTTTTGTCCTTCAGGGCGGACAGCTCCAACTTCTCTGTGTAGAGTTTGGTCGGCTTGGTGGTCTCGAGGCCAGTGATGCATTGGTCGAAACGTGTGATGTCGACCCCTTGCCACCTTGCCATGTCCTCGATCCGGGGCATCATCCAGAGTGACGGCTTCCCTGGTGGATGGTCTGGATTCTCTAGACCCCAAGGCCTGACCTGCTGATGGAGCTTGTGTGCCACTTTGTAGGAGCGATGGACCAGGATGTTGGAGTCCCTCAACTGAGCTGCTTCAGCTTTTGTCGGGTCTGGGATGCCGGTGATGTGGTCGATGGTTCGGATCACCCGAGGCCCCGGCGGCTTCTCTCTGAGAGGTGAGAAGGTGCCACAGGGCGTGGCGATCCACCCGGCCTGAAAGAACTCGGCGTCCAGGTCTTTCTTGATCTCGTCCCAGACCTCATCTTTGGTGAGGTCAGTCGGCGTTGGGAGGACCGTGTCCAGGCTGCATACCAGCCACCCGAGTCTGGCCATTTGGTGGGCGAGGTCGCCTTCCCTAGATCTTCCGGAAAAGACGATCAGCATCTGTGGTTTCTTGGAGGTTTCACCCACGGTGCTAGACCACCAGCCGTACCTCCTGGGAGGTTCCTTCAACGCCACGACTGGCCTGAGCCTTGCTGACCCGCCTTCCTGAGACCCTGAGGCGGGAGGCGAAGGGTTCTCGCTCGTTGCGATCTGGAAGACTCGGCCGCCGACTCCTCTTCGTACACCAGCTCTTCTTCTTCCTGGTCGTCGACGGCTCCTTGCCGACTTTCTTCGGCCTCCTTCCTTTGTTTCTTTGTGGGCGGCGCCTCTGGCGACTTCGGGGCCAGGCCCGGAATCTTCCGAGGGCCCGCAGCTTGCGCCGATGGAGGTACTTTCTTAGGCTGTTTCCCTCCCGACGCGTTCAGGTCAGCTGCACGCGAGCCGGTGGAAGTCCTTCCCCCGGCCGCGATTGCGGGTCAGTCCTTCTTGGCCCCAGTGCAAGAAACGCCCTGGTGCGGACCTAGGCACTTGTTGCACTGATGGGATCTCTTGGACTTGCATTTGCCCTGGGCTTGCTTCGACCCGCACTTGTCGGCATTGTAGAGGCGGCAAATCTCGACACCACGCCGGTTGTGCGAATAGGTGCCATCAGTCCCCTTCCGGGACTTATCTTCGCCCTTGTAGGTCCTGTTCGACCGGCCTGCCCTTCTTCTCTTCGCCTCGCCATCTGGAAGCTCTTCATCTTCTCCTCCCGTAGGGGCCCGCTTCGAGCGTGCCAGAAACAGGGTAGTTGGTGTGGTGAGCTCCTTGTTCCAGAACTCTGTGTCCTTCACGGCGTAGGCATAGCAGGCGTTCCAGGGCGCAGCTGCTGTGAAGCCGAAGGTGGGGTTGGCGTTTAGCTCCCGCCTCAGCCTTTCGAGCTGCTCAGAGCGCATGCGGCTGTCGGCCTTGCAGATGAACGGCCATGCCTCCTCTCCGAATTGGGTGACAAACCCCCGGATGTGTTCGGCATAGGCATCCAGCCGTTCAGCCTCCGCCGCCTCCAGCAGGAGGAGTGCAGTCCTGTAGCACCTCCAGGCTTTGTACCATTCATAGAAGGAGCCAGGTCCAGGCTGCTCTTTCTTGGCCCATTCGCCCGTGGAGACGTTGAGGCTGTAGCTCTGAAAGGTCTGGCGGCGAAGGAGGCGCTGACCATGCGGGCCAAAGATCGAGAAGTCGGCGTACGGGACCGCGTGTGCCGCTAAGACCTGACTCAGTGCGGCCAACTGATCACGACTCACGTCGGCATCCACACTGGGGAAGTCTCCATAGCGGTTGCGGTAACGCTCGTACATGCCTGTGACTTCAGCATCACCCAACGGTTGAATCTCTGCGTCCAACGTCGGGTCGAGGACTGCGCTCAACTTCAACTTGCGAGCCTGTGGACCCCCTGGTGCGGGTGCCGGAGCCCCTCCCGCTGCGGGGAAGGGGGCTGGAGCTACCGCCGGAGCGGCCGCTGCTGGATCGCCTGGCAGGTCGATGGGTCTCCCCGACCGTAAGCAACAGACTCTCCTGAAGGATTCCAGCCGTGCCTCCTCGACCGGAGTGAGAACTCGAAGCGGCGGCCTAGGGTCTCCTCCGTCTTGGATCTGTAGGCCTGCCACCACCCGATCCCAAGTCGGCCTGGGAATGAGGGCGATCTCTCGTACCTGTGCGGGTTGTCCCAAGGCGGCATGCAGGGCGTCAGCCAGGGGTCCTTCCACCCCGCACCAAGCGCGAGCCTCCGCCAGGTTGGTGATGGTTTGAAGTTCACCTTCCGTGGGGTCCATGGTTCACCACCGGGCCTTCGTGGAGTAGAGGTGCTTGTGGCGTGATAGATCTCCTTCGTGCCCGACGGCCCTGTGTCGGGCGAGACCCTTCTGTGTTGCGAAGGGTGAACCTCTTGTAGCCGTTGAAAGCTACGCCCACTCGGCGCCTCTTGTTCACGAACTTGATGGCGCGCCGCGTCTGTCGTTCCCAGGCGACCAGGGCTTCTTCACCGGCCGTAGTCCGGGGGGGCAGGTGCACGACAGCACGCCCACCCGACTGCGATGCCGGCAAGGAGTGTCAGTGCCCACACCACACCCAAGATGACCAGAGGATCAAAACCTCCCTGGTCCTCGGGGATGGCAGAAACCACCAACTCGCCCATGCCCACCTGTGGTTCGACTCAGCTGGAGCCAAAATGGCATACGGGGGAGGAAGTAACCTCTACCACACTCATGCATTGTCAACTCCACAAAAATGTGTTCTCTCACCAAAACGGTCTACTTTTCACACGGCCTTTTGCAGGCAATCCTTGCTTGGCAAGGATCTATGCTTCTCTTGCGTGCGCCTTTTAGCAGCACTTACAACGAGATTAAATTACCCGGAGCCATCATTGCCTGCATCCTCCTCCCAATGTTCCCATTCGATCCACCATCATGAAGGTCTTCATCACAATGCTTTGGCTTTGGATATTCAATCCTACTCTGCTGCTGTGAAATGTGATTCTCAGCCTCTAAATCCGGCACCATCTCTGCAGAACAGCAGAAGCCTTTTTCCGCAACATATGGGCATCGAGGCCAACCACTATTGCTGGTACCAGTAACCCGTGGTTCCAAAGACTAAAACCATAGACCGAACGACGAAACCCTGGTTCCTTATATATTATGTGGGAAATCATCGGCACCGGTGGCCCGTCCCGACACACAGCTCTCGCCCCCGGCGGAAACCACCGAGAACGCTGCGCCACTTGGAGGCCGTGAGCTGTGTGCGTTCGTTTCGGGACGCGAACGTAGAAGCGCTCGGATGGCGCTTGTTGGGTGGATTTCCAGCGGCGCCGCGGCGCTCCTTGGGGTGAGTGTTTTTGGTTGGACTGTGAACCCAAAATGAAAGAAAAGACTAACTGGCCATTGAAACTTGAGGCACAACCTGGAATAGCTCCACAAAAGAGTCCGGGTCTGGAGCCATCGGTATTCGCCAGAAACCTCTTTTGCAAAGGTATTGAAGCAATTCACCGCCTCTCAGCCAATTGCGCTGAAGTCTGACCTGCACAGGAGAGGTTTTTGATTTCTCGACTGGACTGGGTCGAATCAAAAGAACATGTGGATTGTACAATATCTTATTAAATGCAATCAAGAGACTATGGCTGTGCGTCTATATATACATGTATATACATATGATCATTAGACGGATTTTCTGGATCCGTCCAATGGAACATGGGGGGCACAAAGAAACGCTGCTTCAGAAACCCTGTTCTGTCATCGGGATCGTCTTATTCGTCCAAAAGAGGCGATTTGAGGTGCCTTTTGAACCTACATCATAGCTTCTTGAAAAACAAGACGTAACTCAGCCTGACTCGATGCTCAAAACTGGCTTCCAGCTTGCGTAGAAAAGAAACACTATGAGATATACAACGAAGAGTTCGACCTCACTTTCCTCACTCCCTCTCACTCCAGCCACTGCCCTCCGGTGACGTCTTCGGATACTTTGGATTTCCACACCCATGGGCCCCCAATATCGATCTCTCTTTTGTCTCCTCTTCGGATCGTCGCGGCATACACCTGGCTCCACCATGGTGCTGCCATCGTGATTCACAGCACCCGAGTTTCCGGGGGCCGTACAAAGCCGAGCTGGGCACCAACTGCCGAGCTGCAGCGCCAAGCTGCGCCGCAGCAGTCTGGATGCGGGACTCTTCCGTGGGTCAACGGTCAGCCTTGTCCGAAGTTGGTCGGCGTAATGCCCATTTCGAAGGCCGCCACGTTCAAGTCTCGTTGCTCAATGCCTTCGAATGCAGTCTCTTTGGGGCCATGAAAGACTGTGTAATTACAATTGATAATGTGAGTCCCTTCATTTTCACTTGAAGTGTTCACAGGTGATACATGCACCATCATGCACCAACAAACGCTGTTCGTGGCTCAAGAAAAGCAACGTCCGCTTTTTCCATTGAAGGAAACTCAGGTTATGAGCCCAACAACCTGTTTTTCCATTTGAAGTCCACCTCCGTTTTTTCGGGGTTGTTGGCCGCCATGAGTGGCTTCGTTGGTCAGCGGCAACGGCGATCATCCCGTGAAGGGGAGAGGTTGCAAGACCCTGGAGATCAAGAAGGTCGACTTCGAGTGGGTGCGGCAGACGAGCGGCTGCAAGCGCTGCTGGAAGAGCGAGAAAGCAGAGCAGCATCGGTGCCGGCGAGGACGGCAGCGGTTCGAAGGCTGGCTGCAGCTCCAGAGCAGGCTGGGCAGGCGGCAACTACTTCCTCGGCGAGAAGACCGAGCAGAGAACCAGAAAGCCAGGTTATGGGCCAACAGAATGGGCCAGGACAAGTCACGATTGAGTCGGCGCCGGGATTGCTGGACTCAGTCAGGCAGTCCCTGGATGTTTTGCAGCGAGCTTTTGGTGGGAATCCCCAAGGTCAAGGACTCTTGCACCTCTACTTCAACACCATGATCTTGGACACCTTGCCGGTAACGGTCCTGGGGTTCCTGCCGGGCATGGAAGCGTGTTTGGTTCGCCACAGTGTCCAATCCCACCTCGAGGAGGGCCAATGAGCTATGGCCCTACGGTTGAGTTGGGACCACAACCAAGAGTTCTTGAACGTGGGTTGGAGCCTGAGGGGGAGGTTCGAAGGTCGCCAAACTATGTCGACATGGAGGCCATCAGGGAGAAGGTACTCAGGGAGGCCGAGAATCTCTTTGCCAAGGAGATCAAGAAGGTCACTGGTGGAGCGGAGTCATCATCTTTTGAGTCGGTGCCAAGCGCTGGCCGAGAGCCTGGGCGGCCATCGGTTGGTGTGATGGGACCGGGCGGAGGAGGCAATGGGGGTGAATCGGCTTCGCGGTGATGTTCGAGGGTCTCAACCACATGGGAGGCAGTGAATGAAGTGTTACCTCTACCATCTCCTGGCAGCGATGGAGCTTCGCTGGCTTTCGGCGATTGGCTGACGGCGGCGATGCCTCTCATGTCGGACCTCTCATCCTCAGCGAGGGGTTGGTGGCGAATATCATGGAGGCGGAGGCGCTGTATGAGACTTGGCTGAAGTTGAAGCCGCTGGAAAGGCTGAGGCTCAAGGTTGATCGGCCTTTGCACCCCAGTTATGAAAGGGTGGAGCACCGTGGAGTGACCATTTTGCTGGGGGTTCTCCCTGATCAAGTTCGAAGGGATGTCATTGCCTCTAGAAAGGTGAGCTGCCTGGGAATCCTGTTCCGGTTGTACACCATCTTCCAACCAGGGGGTTCAGCCGAGAGCTCCTCAAAAGCATCACCGAGCTGAAGGTGGGGCATGGGGTGGCAGATGTCCTGTCTGGAATTCGCCATGCAGTGGAGGCGATGGATCCAGCGTGCACAGGAATTGGGCCTGACTACACCAGATCCTTTGGCGCTGGTGCAAGTGGGGAACAGGGTCACAGAAGCCTTGGGTCGACATGGAGGTGCTCAGGTCTCGCTCAGGATGGCAACCGCGAGGCAAGATCTTGCAGTAGATCAGTGTCCTACGATGGAATCCATCATGGAGTATGCGGAGTATACGCAGGCGGAGGCTGAAGATTTGGCGTTGATGGCTGGCTCTTCCAAGGCGCCTACAGCATGTGGGAATGTGAACGCGTCAACAACGGGAGGGACAGCTCCAAAGGTGGCAGCGTTCAATACTATGAACTCCACGGAGGAGAAGCCCAAGGCTCCTTGCAAGTTCTGGGGGTCCGCTCAGGGCTGCAGGAGAGGCGACCAATGCACCTATGGGCATTCATGGGATGGCATCAACAAGCAGAATCGGTGCTTTGTGTGCAGTGGTGAAGGACACATGTCACGAGAGTGTCCTACCCGACGTGAACGAGATCAAAAAGACTCGAAGAAAGTGGCGAAGGTCAAGAACCCGTCGCCCACCAAGGAGTCGCCGGCGAATGACATTGAAGCTCCTGACAGGTCAAAGGAGGAGATCGCTACTACGACTACTTCCCAACAGTCCTCAGGGTCCTTGAAGAGCACGCAGGCATCAAGGAGTCGGGATGGGGAGAAGGTTGGAGGTGGTGGAGAAGCCTCGACGGGGAGTGCAGAGCCCGCGGCGGCCTTGATTGCAGAGGCTACAAGTTTACTCAAGTCATTGAGGGCGCTCAAGGCCTGCAGGCTGAAGCAGGTCTGCAGGATACAGCCTGGGACGGAACAAGAGGGCGAAGTGGCCTTGTTGGATGGAGGAGCGACGCATCCGTTGAGAATGGCGGAGGAAGGTGAGAAAGGCCACCTCATTCCAGTTCAGGTGGAACTTGCCCATGGATCGACGACGCTGTTTCGCGTTGTCTTTGGATGCGGTTGAGCCGATCATTCCATTGAGCTTGCTGGTCCAACACGGCTTTCGGATCGACTGGTCGGCGAATGGATGCACAATCAACCATCCTCGGCAGGGGCCTATACTATGCTGGCTGCGGGGGGGTTGCCCAGTGATGAAGAGGACTGCAGCTCTTGCTATGCTCAGGGAGTTTGAGGAGCTGGAGAAGGGACACCATGGCATCACGACTCAGAACGCCCAGTGGTGGGAGGAGAACATCCTTGGGGTTCCGGGGGAGCTGTTGGAGTTCATGAAGGGCCAGTCATGGTGTCCATCGGGGGATGACCTTCCTTGGAACCGGAGACAGAGGAGGATGCATCAGACTTCAAAAGGAATCATCGTGCACCTGTTCTCTAACACGTGAGGAAGTGGAGGGACTCCGTGCCTTCGGGGTACTCATGGCTGTTCTTGGACCCGCTCCTTGGGTCGAGGTATGATCTCCACTCGCCTCAAGTGTGGGGATATCTATGTTGGTTGGCCAAGCAGGGTCGAATCAAAGCAGTTTTGGGAGGTCCGCCATGTAGAACAGTCAGCAGGCTGCGAAACCGTGGTCCTCTAGGTCCTCGCAAAGTGAGAGCACGAGGTGATATCTCCCAAGGAGGCGCAGCTGGTTGCCAACGACACTACATTGGTCCTCAAGCAGATTGCACTTTGGAAGCTGGCAAAGCAGGGACGGCCACCGGGCCAATTGACAGGCTTTTTGCTGGAGTCACCTAGGGATCCTATTTGGAGTCGGAGGAGGATCGAGAGAATCCGTCCTATTTTGAGTGGCCTCAACTGCAGCGGCTGCTGGAGGAGGATGAGCAGCGAATCGACTCCTCTATCTTCCATCACTTCCACCATCGTAACGTTCTGTAGCCGATGGGGCCTTCAAAGCTCATCGATCTCCTCTCGACCAATCACCTGCTCCTCGCCCTCCTCGACTTGCAGCTGATCTTCTGGTTCTGGTGGATCTTGATGGCCATCACCTCTCAGATCTTCATCTTCCGGGTCCTCTTGATCCAAGGTGGGAACATCCACCATCTGCTCTTCAGTGACGTCCTCCTCCTCTTCTGTCGCCCCAGGTAGGTGGTCCGGCACCGGCAATGGCACCGTTCCCAACAAAGCATACTTCGCCATTCTTCCAGTTGCAAGGTCCTTCCCAACCGGGAATGGTCCGATGATGTCCACCGCCAAGGTGTATGCAGAAGACGCCGTCCTGGATCTCCGGTGTGGATTTTGTGTTCCCATCGCTTCCAGGCATGTCCTGCAGTCCCGCCTAAACGGCGTGCGCTGCATCCGCACGTGTCGCCGCCATTGGTCCATATCCAATCGCGCCACCTTGCAGTTCTCATCCTCCTCAAGCATCTTCATCAATGCCAGCTGAATAGACCTGACGAAGCCCGGCGACCATTCCGACCAGCTCCGCGATGCAGCCATCCTCTGACTCAAGTCCCCGCCGACCGGACTGGTGCTTCCCCCACCTTGGCAGTGTTCCAGCTGCTCCAGCATGGGCAAGTTCGACAACACCTGTCGGCTTCCTTCTTGGATGACCCGTCGATCCCTGATCGAAGTTGATCATCCTCATAGTCCAGTGGGAAAGCAAGCAGCCCTTTGGCACTTTGTCGAGCTCCTGTGCTTCCATCATAGCGATTTTGGAGAGTGGGGCGAGGCCATCGACTGCGTCCTTCATGGTGATTCACAGCCTGGCATTCGCATTTTGCAGTCGCCGGACGGTCCGTGGAGAACAAGACACCTTCGGCTTCGAAGCTTTGTGCTGCGGGAGCGAATCCGCACTGGCTGCTGGCAGGCACGTCATCAGCCGGGAGCTTCACTGTCGGTGGACTTGTGCGCTGGGGCATCTCCGGTGAAAGTGATGGAGAGCTGTGCGCAGGTCAAGCGACTGATTGGGCTACTGAGCGGGCTGATAGGCATTTCTTGTTGGCAGCCAGCGAATGCGATTGCCAAGGTCGCCAAAAATGTGACCATTGCAGCGGTAGCTTCAAGTGTAGCTTGGTTGATGGGTAGGAAGGGTGGAGAAGACCTAACAAGAGTTTAAGAACCGGCATTCGCTCGGACAGGGGCGTCCAAAGAGGGCAATGTCGAAAGAAGAAAATGTCAAGAAGAGACAAGGGAAAATGAACCTGTCTCCAAGCCGGGCCGCGACCCTAGCCCAACGGGCTCCTCGGGCGGTGCGAGCGCGTGCGAGCCATGGATTCGGCGACCTCCGCGGGTGAGTGCTTTGAAGGCGCCAATCACCCACGTGGGGCTTGGCACTGATCTCCCATGGGAGTTGATGAGATTTGGCACTCCGCCAACGGGAACGGACAGATGGGAGTGCCTTGGCGTGGGTCTTGGTGGTGGTGAATGGTGGGTCAGGGTTTTGAAAAAGTCCCGGGCGCGAACCTTTCATCCACTACATCGTGGAACCCCAATGTCAATAGCGAGACTCTCGGCAACCAGAGTCACAGTGGCTTTTCGCGGGGAAATCCGCGAGAAGTGTGGAAGCGTGTGGTCGTCACCGACGACTGGATGGAGAACAGGGGCTCTGATGTGGAAGGGCTTCATGAGTGGTGTGGTTACGCCTTCTTCTATGTGAAGTTTGAGGCCTTGCCAGAAGGAAGAGCTGGAAATCTTGATCGGCGTGATGTCAGGCCGGGACCACTTCCCCCGCCGGGATCGGTGTCAGCGATCAGTGGCTATGGAGGCTCCAATCCAGAGAGTTCAAGAGCAGCTCAACGGGGTCGAAAGGCCCTGCAGGGATCGGAGAATGCAGAGGAAGAGGGCGTCACCTACGGTGGAAGGGGCATCAGTGCTCGTGACATTGAGTCCATCGAGGGTGGCACGATGACGGGCTACGAGCTTAGGCTCCAAGGACGTGAGCATCGGGGGGAGATCGGAAGCGATCCTGGCCAGTTGACGGAGAATGCATACCAAGCAGCGGGTACAGGTGATCTACTACCTCCCGAGGCCGACCAGTGGCCGATTTGGCTTGGAATTGAGACGGCAGTTCAACCCCGTCCTAGTCATGAGGGCGAACGAAAGGATGATGACTGTGAGTCGGACGGAAGCTTTGAGTTTCTGCCCAACACCAGATGAAAAAACCTGGTGTTGGAGCATGTTTGAAGATGATGGTCCAACCATCAGGGGGAGTGTGAGTCCCCGCATTTTCACTTGAAGTGTTCACAGGTGTTACATGCACCATCATGCACCAACAAACGCTGTTCGTGGCTCAAGAAAAGCAACGTCCGCTTTTTTCCATTGAAGGAAACTCAGATAAAAGGGAAATGTGGATGAACTCATGGTTTTCATGTTGACAATGAAATGGTTGGTAACAACATGTAACATCATCACAATGCATCTCTGCGATTTCACCAACCATCACTTCTTATCACCCCACCTCCACCGCACCGAAATCAAACGACCCCCGCACCTGACTTGGCCATGACCTGGCGCTCCTGCGCGGCGACCTCGGCGCGGAGATTCCTCCGCCACTCGGAGTTCTCCAACTTCGTCACCTGAGCGGCGCGGGTCAGTCGAACACCACGGAACCACGGCCGCCCGGTCGGTAGCCCTGCCCTGCTCCGTCCTCTGAGCAGTTCCTCGTGGCGTCCTCTCTTTCAGACAAGTTCCAAGTTTGTGGAATTTGTGGAAAATGCTGCAGGGGTGTTGTTTTTGCTACTTTTGCCGTCCAGACCGGCAATGAAATCCCCCTGGGGGCGGTCCTTGCTGGCCTGGAATTCTGTGCTGACGGGTTCACCCCCCACACAATTCTGCCAGGACCAGCTCCTGAGCTCTTTATTCATGGTTGGGTTTCCTTGGTTTCCTTTCTGGTTGCTTCTTTTGTTTCGTCCATGTTAATGTTGTCTTGTTCCTTTTATCTGCTTATGGCTCCTTTGTTTGTTCATGGTTTTACTATGTTGTTTCCTATTGTTGTTCCTACTTTGGATGCTGTTTATGATATTGATATGTCCTATTTGTTTCTAATATTTTGATCACACCCAGTGGAAGCTTAACTTCCTCAAAAGAACCGGAGACTCCCCCAATTGCAAACGGGCGACGAGAGCTGAGCCGACACCCAAGCTCAAGATCAGTAAGAGCGGCACGACCCAACAAGCCCACGATTGCCTCGGCCGAGCCACTGCAGGAGACTCAAGATTTTTGACGAAGCTTAAGTAGTAGTAAGGCCAGGAGCCCCTAGTGGCGTCCTTGCTCCTAGTAGTAAGGCCAGGAGCCCCTAGTGGCGTCCTTGCTCCTAGTGTGAGCCAAGGTGCTGGGCATCACCCTCTTCGTAGACTTTGCCATAGATGCTCATGCCCAAGCCCAACATCAAGATGATGGTTGGCGTTGACCTTGTCTCTCAGTGGCGCATCTGGTCTCTTCCCTTTAGCACTGCAAAAGTAAGCTTCTCCAAAAGGTTTTATCTGATGGTGCCTCCCCAGTCTGGATTGTACCAAAACAAATCTTGTTCCTAGTAGCGATGCCCTTTGTTTTTCCTAGCATAGACCACCAGCCTCTGGGCCATCTGCCTCACATACACTCACATCCGACTGGCGCAATTGGAGCTCCGCTTTGAAACACCGAGCGACGTGAGGCCACCATAGAAGGTCTCCCCAAAGGTCACTTTCTTCACCTCCTCAGCTGAGGCGTCCGGAGCCTTCTCCGCGTTCTTCGTGCCCTTCGCGTCGTTCTCGGTCTCCTTCTCCGGGCCTTTCAGGTTCTCGGTCTCGTTCTCGTTCCCATCGCTCACATCTCCTTTCATCAAAGGCTCCTTGGCCTCTTCTGGCAAAGCCTTCTCCGTCATTTGTTCAAGTGGATGGGACAATCAGAGAGAGTGAAAGCTTCTACCTGAGCCCAGAAAGCTACAGTCAGTATTTGTCTGGAATATCAAGTTGGAATTGAAAAGCAAGCTGGGATTGAAGTTGGAAACCATCTCACCAAACTCATCCCAAATCTCAGGATCTCTAAATTCCTGCACCAACAAGTCATGAAGGCTTGTTTGTGGATCAACAAATCGGATCGCCCGAATCACGGATCTTCCAGGGAAAAACTACCGGAGTCACCGCCTCCTTCCCGTCCTGGTCACGCCACCGAACCCGCCCCGTTCCGCCACGACGTGACCTTCCGCTGCTGTGACTGCCACGATCAAAGCCCCAACCTTAGATGCCAACCGAAGCCGCACGGGGGGCCCAGCGATCTCTCTCATAAATGTTGCTTCGAGATGCTTCGAGATAGATTCCCAGATTCCCAAAAACGATGTTTCGCATGTCTGAAAGTCAGTAAGCTTGGGCCTTCAAGGTCCGGCCCTTCCCAAAAAAGACCGGTCTTCTCCATCACGGGCGGACGGCCTTCCATCTCCAAGTCGCCGTGGATCCGCCGCGTCATCGAGCGACGGGACTGGGGCAATGGGTCAACGGCGATGCTTCGTCGTTCGAGGTGTGGTGGGGTTCAATGGGTCAACGTCAACGTTAGACTCTTGATTCAAACAAAACGGCTAGAGAGGCATTGGTAGAACCTCTTGAGGCATTGGTAGAGGGGTGCAATAGTCATCCAGGTTCTACTGTACATGGCCTGTCTTGGGAACAACGAAGACGTCTTGAGTTGTACAACCCAAGGTTGCCGGCGACGAATGGCAAGATCATGTTGTGAGATGTTCAATGGGTTGACGTGGTGAGCTACTTACAGACTGGGAGAAGACTCGTGGGTCAGTTGCGAAGTGGCGGGTGAGTCATGCCCATCGAAGAGAACCCCAAAAGCAGGAACTACATCAGAGTCCAGTCGAGACAACAGCAAAGAGGAGAGGAAAGGGATGGAAAGGGCAAAGCTTGAACATCAGCCCATCATCAACCATCCAAATCTCCAAAGTCTTTCTAAATGAAAACCCCCGGTCCCGTACCGCTGGGCTGGGCATCCCGACCGAGATCGTACTGGAGCTTCCTGACTCTGCCTTGGGGGGTTTGGTGGAGATTCAGCTGGCCCCCCGAGCAGCAAAGCCCCTTGGATGTCCTTCAGAAGATATCTAAAGAATCTATATACAGGTGGATACACTGATACATCTAACAGGATGAATCACAAGAGAGCAATCTATCAGTTTCCTTGTATAGGTGGATGTGGAATTTATAGACCTGCCGCACCATAACAAAGCAATACAAGGCAACTTGGACGAAAACCCGAGACTGATGTGCGGGTCTAGGATCACACACGCCAGAAACAGAAACGACCTGCTGAGCGTGTCACATATCGAAGCTCCCCAGCCTGGAACGGACATATTGGATTCTGAGATCTCCTTCTGACAAAGACTGATACTCTGCCTCCATCAGTTCTTCATAAGAATGTGCAAAGCACAACAGACTGTAAAGGGCAGACCCAACATAGCCGCGAAGCCATAGCTTGGCGGCACACATCACCGACAAAGCCTTGCAACAAAAAAGAGCAGTTATCCCTTTCCCATCTCCACACTCTGAAGCTCCAATCAGCCTTCATCCGGGTCCGCCCAACCAGCCCACCTTCTTGAAGTTGGACCTTGTGAGTGGCCTCAGGTGTTTCCAAATCAACTCCGCAGCTCAACTGAGCGTGTCTGAAAACCTTGATGAAATCCCATGTCCTATCATTGGGCTTACGCTTGTGCTTACGCTGCCTTACGCGACTCACATGTTTGCTTACGCGGTACACTTGGAGCAAGAAGGGCTTACGCAGACCTTACGCAACGCCTGTTTTGCACAAAATGCAGCTGACACCACAACGCGAGCTTGCGCGCTGCATACTTTGTACAATGGACATTTACTACACCTAATCTTCGGATATGGATGCTGAAGAAGCACTTGAGGATGAGGACGAAGAAGAAGGCTCGAAGGCAGAAGCAACCAAGCAGCAGCAGCAGCAGCAGCAGCAACAGCAGCAGCAGACTAGCAGCAGACTAGCAGCAGACTAGCAGCAGCAGCAGCAGCAGCAGGAAGTGGAGAAGTGGAAGTGGAAGGGCGATGCGCGCAAACCACATTGTATATAGAGGTCTTCAACCACACGCCGCTGACGCAACGGTTTCGGAAAAGGAGGACCGGGTGGAAAAGGACACCGGAACTGACGCGGAGCTTACGCGCGGCTTACGCGGAACTCACAAAAATCACCTGGAGTTTCTCATGTCTGACATGGAGGTTTGACTGTTCAGCTGTGGTGTTTGGACTGTGTGTGTGTTCAGCAATTCGAGTTTGGAAGTGTATGTATGTGTGGAGTTGGACTGTTCCTTAGTCCTAGCACTTCTGAGAGGGGTTGCTCATGTATTTATCATGTATTTCTTCAAAGCTTACGCATGGCGTACGCAAAAGGTTTCCTTACAAAAAGCTTGCGCAACCTTACGTGCGTGCAGGTTTTGCTTACGCACTTCGATATGACAACACACTGATTAAACATGAACACGGAGGTTTATCGAATGGCTCAACTGAGCTGCTCGGGGATTCCGGATCCTTTCCCGACTCGCGACGGTCTTCTTCGGGCTTCCGGGCTCCGGCAAGGGTGCCAATGGCTTGATGGAGCCACGAATGAGATGCAAGTGCTCTCCTCGAAATGGAGCGAAAAGGCTGGCGGAGTCGTCCGTGGGGGGACCAAGGCCATCGAATGATGGAACTCGTGGCTTCTTGTTGTAGCGATGGCCTCCACCCTAGTAGCGATGGCCTCCAACCTACTAGCTTCTTGCTACTACTTATTCTGCCTGAATGATGGAATGGTTGGAAAAGCTGATGTCCAAATGCCCTGATTTATTCGTAGCAATGCTTCCAACAGAGCGGACGACTACACCCGGCGGGCGACTACACCGTTGGCCAAAACACAGAAACCGAGCTGCAGGAGTCCGAACCTTCCGTTTCTGCCGTTCTTCGGCTCGTTCTTAAAACTTGAATCACCAAGGACGCTACGAACGTAGCGTTCGGACGCTCTGCTCGGTGGAGGCCATCGCAAGTAGGTTGGAGGCCATCGCTACGCAGGTCACCTTCGGACGCTACGAGTCGTAGCATTCGGGTGCCACGTTCGTAAAGAACCCCTTGTTTTGGTCATCTGAGGTGCCATCATAGATCTCTTTGTTCGGCGTCACAGCAAGTCACACCGTCGAACGGGATCCGGCAGCTCCTGTCTCGTCATCCGGCGTCACAACGCCTCGGGCGAGGCGTCGCGACGCGCGCGGCAGAAGCCAACCGGAAGACGGCGCGCGGAAGCGGTGTCAGACCGCTTGGTACGGGCCAAAAAAGAGAGAAACAGAAGCAACATATGTGTGAAAAGATAGTATACAGTATTCATATACAGAATATCATCATCCAACCGGCGTATTAGATTTGTTGTGTTTGCTTGGGTAGCAAATCACCAGCTCGTTGAATCCCAAAAGTCTTCGTTCTTTGGGGCTTGTTGAGCTTGCCGATATCACCCCCCGGGCTGGGCTTCCAAGCGCGATCGCCTGAGAGCGGGTCTTCGCATTTTGAGGTCAAACCCAGAACTTCCACCAATCTCAGCTGCATGGGAATACACTCACCTTATGATGCAAGAAAAGGATGGGTTGAAACCAAAAACACACAAGTCCCCCGACTCACCAGTCTTGCGAATCTGTTGGTAATCTCATGTGAGCTCAAGTTCGCTCGCTGCCGCTCCAAGCCACGCCGGTGTGGAGGGTGTTGGAGCCCTGAAGCGGCGCTGCCACGCAAGAGATGCAAAAAGCGTAAGGAGAACCAAGCAATCGCCTCGTTTCTTGTCCATGAACTCAGGATGGTCAGGTTTCAAGATACTGCCCCCACAAAAAGAGACTCGTTGCTTTGTAGAGAAACACCATTTGGATGGGTCCATGACCGACTCGAGACTCGTGGGGTCTGACCACGTACCGAGCACCCACCAAACATCATTACACTCCATGAAAATAGTCATGGAAGTGATATAGTATCGCCCCATAGGCGACAAAAAGGTGGTGAACTCCACTTCCAGTTCAGAAAGTGCACACCTCAAAGACCATCGGACGTACTCCCGCCTGGTGGGTAGCGCCAAGTCGACCTGTTTTCAGGCCCAAGGAGCGGCTTTGTATTAAAGCATAAACCAACCCGTAGCAGTCGTGGAAAGACTGAGAAGCCCAATAGTGCCCAGGTGATACACGTGGGGACGAAAATGGATAAAATGACGTCAGGCTTGGCAGAAGTCCAGTGATCCGAAAATCTGATCTCAAGAAGATACTAGTAACAAGGGCATTACCACTAGTAGCTAGAAGCTACTACTGGTAGGTTGGAGGCCATCGCTATTTAGGTTGGAGGCCATTACTACTATAGTAGCTAGAAGCTACTAGTAACAAAGGCATCGCTACGAACGTAAGAAACACGTGGTGATCATCTCTTTGGTCCCTGCCTCGGGCGTCTCCGCCCGCAAAGCCACAGGTCCAGCCCTGGGAAGCTCGGGGTGCTCGGCTCGCCGAGGGCGAAGCCTTTCTGGTCGAATGCGAAAGATCCGTCACCACAGCGGCCAGGTGAGCAGCAAGAACTACTCCGAGGTCTGAAAGAAAGAAAAACTTTGGAGCTCATATGCATCCATGAAGTATCTATCATCGACATTCGTCATGAAACTCGTATTTGGGGTCTCGTATCCAAGGATCCATCAAGAATTCCAAGTATTCCATACAAACTGTCCCACCACCAACCACATGGGGCTCGCTCTGCTGGGCTCTGCTGGGGAGCCCTGGCGCCCCCACTGAAAGAGCGGGACATTCTTTCGCGCAGGGCATGGAGGCACCCTGGTGCCGGTCGTGCCAGTCGTGCCGGTCGTGCCGGTCGTGCCGGCGGGTCG